TCTGGTCCAGTATTGTTTAGCAATCTACTGCTTTACATACTGTAAACGATTGTAAAGTACTGTAAATTATTCCATATTATTGTAGACTATTGTATACTCTGGTCTATTCTTGTTTAGTAATCTATGTTTTTTGATATAACTGTGTATAGCTGTAAATTATCGTATTCGATTGTCAGAAAATACTGTATCTTCTTATATATTATTGTATGTTGTTGTATGCTATTGTATGTTATTGTATATTATTGTATATTATTGTATATTATTGCATATTTTTGTATATTCTTGTATATTATTGTATATTATTGCATACTATTGTATATTCTTGTAAATTAGTGTATATTATTGTGTATTCTGGCATTCTTGAACATCAGTGTATTGTCTTATATTATCTTGCATTTTTATTTATTATAAATTGCATATTGTTGTATATTATTGTATATTATTGTCTATGTTTAATATTCTTGTATATTACTGCATATTATTGTATTTTTCGAAAATTGTCTTTTATGATACATTACTCTATATGATTCTATATTATTGTACATTATTCAATATTTTTTGCATATGACTGTGCATTATTGCATGTTTTTGTAGGTTACTTCATATTATTGTGCATTATTGTATATTATTGGTATATTATTGTAGGCTATTGTATATTATGGTATATTATTGGATATTGCTGTATATTATTGTATGTTTTTGTATATTGTGTTTTTTTCTATTGAGTTATTGTAAATTACTGGAGATTATTGTAAGTCCTTCTTTTTTAGGTAAAAATATATTCTTGTCTCTACTTGCATTTTGTTGTATATAGTTGTGTATTATTGTATCTTTTTGTATCTTATTGTGTCGTAATGTAGATTTTGCGAACAATGCTGGCATCATGGGTTTGGAAGGGATTCATGTGCTTTGAAGCAAGCTTGCCCGGCTTAAAAAAAAAAACAGCGGGGGGGTTGGGGGGGGCGCAGCCCCCCCCCCATTTGTAAACACAATGCTCGCATCATGGGTTTGGAAGGGTTCCATACACTTTGAAGCAAGCTTGCCCGGCTCCAAAAGAACAATATAAATATGTGTTGTGTACTATGAATTGGACTATATGACTTTTTATATATATATATATACACATACATGCATGCATATGCTGTAATATATTTTTTCATATTGTATGATATTCTACGATATTATATTATATAAAATTGTATTATGTTATCTTATCTTATAATATACTATATGTTTTATATTATATACTATATATTATATATTATATATTATATATGAGATATATATTATATTACATTACATTATATTATATTATATTATATTTTTTATATATTATACTACACTATATTGGTATATACCATATATTATACTACATTATATTTTATATTATACTATTTTATATTATATGATACTAGATTATATATTATATTATACTATATTCTATTATATTATATTATGAAATTATAATATATTATATATTTATATATTATATATTAATATATTACATTATACTATGTTTATATAGACATACATCTGTATATATATGTACATCTAAATTCTTATGCTGTACTACATAGTAACTATACCATTATCATGATGTCCAAAACAAGTATATCAATAAAAACAAGAAAATCTGACCACGGGACCGGGAAACCACGGGACCAGAGGACGAGAGGACCACGGGACCAGAGCACCAAGGAACCGTAGGACCAGACGACCAAGGGACCAGAAGGCCAGAGGACCAGAAGACCAAGCGACCAGAGGGCCAGAGGACCAGGGCACCCGAGGACCAGGGGACCAGAGGACCAGGGGACCAGAGGACCAGGGGACCAGATGACCACAAGGCCTGGGGCCAACGTTACCAAGGCCACCAAGGCAGGGCCAACGTTAGGAAAGAAAAAAACACCGGGCCCGCTCAAAGAAAGTCACAAAAAGAGGGAGACACTCAAAAGAGATGCTCTCAGCAACATATAAGGAAGCCTGCAGGCGAGTCCCCGATGGAGGGAGGCTCGACTTCAGAACTTCGGGCTTATCCGTAGATGCGAAGGACCCTCCCCGTTTGGCGTGCATTGCGCTCGCGCACAGCTTCCTGACGATGAACTTACACCATAATACACCCTAATCCACCCCAAACACCTTGAACTTGAACCCCCAGAAAGAAGCTGAACCCCTAACGTCCCTAAGCAGCCACCTCCAGGGAGGAGCGCAGCCCCCGGCAGTTCCTGCAAGAGGGTCTGCATGGAACCAAGAAGTACCACGGAGTGCGCTAAGCAGAGACATCCTGGGAGAATCGAGCGTTTCAAGCCGCCGCCAGAATAGTCCACAGAGCGTTTCAGGGCATACCGTCAGTCGTTGTGTCGTTGCGTTGAGTTTTCGGACTTCCCTCAGGTACGCAAGTGAATCTTGCCATCGCTGTGCGTTGTAAGGAATGGAGTCTCGAGTTTCGAGCTATGTGAAAGCTCAACCTTGAAACTGGAACAGATCATGCGCCATCCCTCCCTCCAGATTCCCACCTCGGTCATGCAAGGATCTGCCATAATCAGCTGGTATCTGGTCTGCAAGATCACCTGGGCACCGTTCTGTTCACCCAAGTCGGACGCACCAAGCTTTGATAAAAAAAAGAGGGTGCCAAAGAATGAAACGCTTAAAAAGGGCTGAACAAAGCTCAAGGCACCGCATCCTCGGCTTAGGGCTACTCTCCTTTCTGAAAAAATGCCAGCTCCGAGGGAGACTTAGAGCTCGAGCAGGGTCTTTGAGTGACGAAGAAAGCAAGAAGCAAGTCTGAATACAGCTGAGCACCACACATCTTTCTCCGAGACGATGGACGCAAAAATGAAGTACAACATTCCATCGCTGGCCACCTGCGCTGCACGGCTACCTCTTTGAAGCCCTAAACCTCCACCATCCTCCACCCAAACTTCACTGAGTCCAAAGCCCTGAAATACACTAAAGCACGAAAGCCCTGAAGCGAAACCCCGACAAAGCCTGACAGTTGTGAATGTTTGAAAAAACCTGTTTGGCATATCAAAAAGGAAGCTCTCGGCTGCGGGTCTATGCTATTAAGGCCTGCTAGTGCGGAAAGGCCGAAGCATGCGATGCTAGGCAATTCTAGAAATTGCGACTCGGACATGCCAGGTTTAACATGTTGGGTGCTGCAGGGCACAGCCTGAGTCACGACAAACCTCAGTGCGACATCCGGCACAGATCTGCACCCAACGGCAATCCCTCACTTGCCGCCGCTTTGCAGGAACTTGTCCTTTCCGATTCTACATACGCACCGAAGCCAACAACACTGCCCGACCCATGAACAAATTCGTAGGTCCCACATTTTCCAGCCTTAAAGTGCAGCGCGACGTGCTGATGAGGTCCGAGGAAGAGCATCTGCCTTCGATATTAAAGATAGAGAGCCCTGCAAACCCTCGGACTTGGGGCCTTGAAGGCCTTGAAGGCCTTGAAGGTTGGAAGAGGGTTTTGTGGGGTTCAGGGCGCGGTGAAGTTTAGGGTCGGCCGCTGCCAGGGCTTGCAGTGGTTTAGCTGCTTTGAACCAAGTGTGCGAACGCAGGAGATACTGTTACTGCCACTTCACTTGCGCGATCTGTCACCCTCACACAGCAGGCTCTCTGCCAGTTTGTGTTTTGTTGGGGATGTAGACGCTTTAGCCACAGCCACACCTGCTACCGCGTCTGACGTAGCCGACAGGAAATGCAGAAACGCAAGAAGAAACAATCCAGAGCGTCCGCGTACTTCCATACCTCCTTCTGTCCATGCAAGCCGCTGCAGCAATTGGAATTATTGCAATGCAGCTACAAGCCTCTGGCAGGAACCTTACACGCAAGTGCAAACTTGCAACGCTGCCCAACATCACCGCATGTTCCAACGTCCAATCGACTCTTTGCCCTGACAACCGACTCGACAGACTCTGTTCTTTTAGAAGCTCGTATTGAGCTCACACCCATATCTCAACATCCAAGAAATCCGGGCCTCACTCGCTCCTGCTCAATGCGTCGATTCAGGGTCTCGCTTGCCGCAAGGATGAGGTCCTGTGTTGGGTGTAAACACTGATTGATAGCCTTGAATGCTTTGAAGACTTAAGACATCTCAAGGTGCCGGGGGTAAACGCACAGCAGGAGCTCTCAGTCTCGTCGTCGAAGGGATGGCTTCGTGTGTTGAGGGCTTGGACTCTAGGGTTTTTTACAGTTGAGGGTGCAGAGTTTGGGAGGGGATCCAGGCCTGAAAGCCTTTGATGCCACGAACTTCAGGGGGTTAAAAACATCCACGAAGGTCCGAAACCGAAACCCCTCCAAACCCCATATCCCAAAAGCCCTAAACCCAATTTCAGTCACCTCCATGTGCGGATGGCGATGGTTTCTGTAGCGGCTGCTCATGCTGGAGAGGCCTCGAACACTGCTCAGAGCATGCACGAACCACAGGCTCAAAAATGGACCTTCTACTTGAGATCTTCATGTGACTTCAAAAAGGGCTCATTCACAGCCCCTTCTTCCACAAGCATTCTTACGACCCTATGCTGGGCTCACCCAAACATGAATCGTGGCTGTATTGGATTTAAGGAGCGCTTCAACCGGGAGCTCTCTGAGGCCAGGTCCAGGAGCAACCACTCATGCAGCAGAAAAACTCCGCTAAGCCAAACAGACCCTAGCATCCCTAAACATACCTCATAATTAAGTTCTGTCCTGCACATCTCAAGATGGCTGTGCAAACGTGCTGCAAAAGCTGAACTCTCAACCCAAAGTGATATCTCTAGGCCTTCCCAACCTTCGAAGGTGGCGCAGCGGTCGAAGAGGTTTCCACCTCTACGCTTGAGGAGCCCTGTTTTTGGGACTTGAGGGCTTGAGGGCATCAGGTCTCGAGCTATCAAACAGAGAACATCTACGTTTTTTATTTTTGAATCAGCCGTCACAGCTTCTGTCCGGGCAGACTTCAGGAACCCTGCGACCGACACCCATGCAGCGCCAAACAGCTCAAACCTCACACCTCAAGCCCTATTCTCGACACTGCACGCTACACCGCCACAAACCCAAGCTGCCTCCAGAAAGCAGCGCACGGTTGGTTCGCATGGCCAACGCTGTCTGCCGCCGGAACTCGACCTTAAGCGCTTGCGGCCATCACTACCCCAAACATGACCATGAACGAAGGAGCACATTCAGACCGCAAGAGTCTCGGCAAGAGTGTGTAAAAATGCAAAGCCCCGCTGTGGCCCGAGCAGTGCGGACCAGGGCGTTGGAAACGCCGTGGGGTGCTACGAAGCCCTGGAGAATGCCAGAGTGGTGCTCCCTGGCGCGACACGCTCAAGAGGCCTCAAGAGGATCAGTAGAGACTCAACAGATGTACATTGACGGCTAAGGGTGCGCAAACTGCTTCTGAGCTGCCTGTTTAAGCACTGCGGTTCACTGCCCACGAAACCAACAGCTTCCGGGAGTCGCACATAAGATTGGAAGGGTCGACATCGACTTTCGAAAAGGCGTGATTGGGAACCGTGATCCCGAGTTCGATGCTCTTTTCAGGTTCGTGAAAAATTCAGGGACTGGAAGCAACTTCGAGAGGCCACAAGCTTGGGGTTCAGCCCTGCACAAGTCAAGCAGCGAAATTCCTGAGACCCAAAACCTCAAGCGCCCAAGCGCCCTAAACTGTCAAACCCCAAACCCTGGACCGCCGCTCCTCAGGCACATGATGAACTCCTGAAGGCCCTTGACCTGAGAACTGGATGTCTGGAAGCCAGATTTCAGTTGTTTTGAAAGAAAACAATAGGAAGCCATGGAAGCCAACATAAGCCAACTACGTAGCTTTGCGATGCAGCGTGCCACGGAGTTTACAATGCTTTGCGGCGCTTTGTGACGCTTTGCGCTACTTTGCGTGTCACGGGACAAAAGTCTGTGCGCAGATGCGCTTAGATGTGTTTAGGCAGAAAGTGTGTACAATGGGCTCAAAAACTTGTACCTCTACAGCACTCCCTAAACCCATCCAAACCCGAAACATGCAGGGTGCCTCTTGAGGCATATGAATGCTTCTGTGCGCTTTCGGGGGACCCAGAAGGCCCTCGCAGTACTGGGGGCCCGGTCCGACAGGAACTGAGCGAAGGGCGTGGGGCTCCTGGCCTGTGTTGCGATGTGTTGCGGCTGTTGGGGAGCGAGAATCTTGGGCTCGCGGATGGGCTTGGGCTTCGGGGGAGTGTGGGCTCGTGGTTTCAGGGGACTTTGGGCTTAGGGCCCAAGATATTAAAGAGAAGACAACCACGTAGGGCCGCAAGAAATTCAAAGTTCAACCCCAAACCCAAACCACTCCCACCCCGCGTCCAAACAACACAAACAAAGCACGGCAACAACTTTGGCCTCCGGGAACTGGGAGGCCATGGGCCTCAAGGGCAGCTGGGGAGGTCGCACGGTCTTGCGCCGCATTTTTCTCGGGCTGGCTGGGATTCGTGAGCGTCGGCTCTGCAAGCGGTTCAGGCTGGACATTGCATGTAGTATTGGGCTGCGACCGCGATGGAGCCAACACTCCGGAATGCCTACGTGCCTCCCAGAAAGCCAGCGCCATCTAGAAAGCCATAAACCCTCAGGTAGTACACGCAAATTAAGGCCTATAGGCCCGCAACTGGTTTGGCTGGCTAGGCCGCCTTAGAGGGTCCGATCCTGGACACAGGATTCTTCAGTCAGCGCCAACACGCGCCCCATATGTTTGCATTTTCAAGCAACAGTTGGCAGCGCATGGCAAGCAATAAACGCAATGGACAGGAAGCCACGAGGCTCCGACAGCCAAACCGCACAGGGCTTATCCCGGTTGTCGTCCTTGTCGCGGTCTCCCACTAGCCTGAGGCAGCTCGACGAGCACTTTATGGGCGCATGACACTCTAAGGCTCCACTAGGGTCACTAGGGGCCTCTCCGGGCATGTCATACTTTGCACTAAAACCGCGAGCATGTTCTCCCCGGCCAAGAAGCTTCTTCTCCAGAGCATGCAGTGAAAGGTTGCCATCCGACTTGCGAAGGAGGGATCCATCCTTCCGGCCTCGGAACAGGCTTCACACGCCTCTAGTCGAGGCTTTGGCCACACAGGGTCCACAGCTCTGCAGACCACATGAGTAGGTCAGTTAGCTTGTAGAAAATCAAAAGCACGGGCACCATGTACGGATCTATAAGAGGCCACCCTGGCTCATCCGACCCAAGTGTCCGAAAAGTCAGGTGTGAAGAGGGGAGTGATAAACGTTGATAATCCAAGAATCGTCAAATCCTCTGAGCAGGCCGTTCTCCGAACTGATATTGTCCCTGCACCCTTGTCTTGGGGAGCAAGGAACAATCCAAAAGCCACGCTAAACCCAAATGGCCTTTGTGGTCCCTGCAGGACCTATGAACCCTGTAGCCTGCAGGGCCCTATAGTCCTTCATCCACAGCTTTGGCCAGGCGGCTGATGAAGTACCAGGCATACGGCTTGCCCTGTGGCTCCACAGGCGAAGCTCAACAAATGTTGACCCGTTTCAGGATTCAGAGTTCGGAGGTTCACCAACTCACACTCCAACTGCTGACCCAAACACCTACAGCTAAGTTGGGTGCGGCTCCAGAGAAACCTCCTGGTGCCTTGGCAATGACCACCGTGTCCGGGATTGAGAAGCCGAAATTGTCAGCAAAGCCTCTGGGCAAGTCCATGTGTCCGGTCCAAACAAAAAGACTCGAACAGCCTGAACTGAACCTCACATCGCCCGCTTCGTCCGCGTCTACGCTTCAGGATCCCTCTCCACAATGTTGTAGTTGAGTGCACGTGTTCCCGGACGACACGGATACACCACCGCTCAAGGAATCCGCCAATCAGAAGGGCCCTGGAGTCCCCCGGAGTCCTACAGAGTCCTACAGAGTCCTAGAGGCCCGGCTGCCCTCAGAGAAGGCCAGGGAGCTGCGGTTCTTATTCCGCCGGTGCCCCCAGCGCCAGAGCAGCTCGTAGAGCTCCACGATGCACCTGAGCCGTGTGGAGCCGTGTGGAGCCAGTGTAGAGGCTGATTCAGAGCTTAAAGGGTGGACTCTTGCATGTCTGAGTGCTGCAGGTCTCCTTCTGGCTTGTCCCTTCTACCGGTAGTTGCTCCTACATGTTGCATTGGTCTTTGCAAGCGTGATTCAAAGCTGTCTGTTTGGCGAAGCCATCTCCGCCGCTCTACAGCGCTTTCGAAGGAAGAAAGGAACCCTGTCCCCCAAGTCCTGCACCCTGAGCTACAGCCCCGCCAACAATAAACTGCCAATGAGCACGACTGGCAATAACAGCCTAATCCCAACTGTCACCCCAGCACCGGTAACTAAAACAAATAACAACCAAGACCATGTAGGAAAACGTAATTGCCTAGATATTGAGAGCAACAAATCAGCAGCAGCTCTATCAGCACAAGAAACAGCAACAGCAGCAGCAATTGTTCTGTTATGAATATGTTGAACACAAGGGTAGGGACATAAGGTGTCCAAGCCCCCTAAAAGATCCTCTGCAGCGGAGCAGCTCGCAGGGCACGCAGTGCTGGTCGGTGCTACGAAACATGTGTGCGTCCTGGCCACAAGGAGGGCTTCGTAGGGCTTCAGGATGTGTAGTGAAGAGATGTGAAGAGTGTAGGGCTGGGGTTTCAGTCTTGAGGGGACTGGACTTTCAGGGTCTAGGATCGGTGAAACAACGGCGCCTAACGCCATGAATGTAAACAGAACCTCAGAGGTCAAGATGGGAAAACATTCTCGCAATTCACTCAGACTTTCGTGGCTCGTGCGAAGTGACCTGAACACGCCCGCACGTTGATGCTCCTGAAGATGGGGAGTCCAAACCTCCAAGCCCCCCGGACATGCCTTAAGATGGCCGCGCCTCACGGGGGGTGATGATTGCGGCAAACTTCTTGCTCCCGACGTCCTGCAAACATTGGGAAGGCTGCGAACTGACCCCTCAAACTACCAAGCCTCAACGATCAGAGTAGACTCAAACCATCGCGTCCTCGTCGTAAACCCTACGGATGTGCTCCATCTCGTGCGGCAAAAGCGGTGCGACCGCCTAGGACAATGGGTTGGAAATGAGGTGAGTCATAAGTTTTCACTGTCATGCTCTTTTAAAGGACGGAGTACACCCGAAACCCGCGCATACGGAAAATCGACCGCACAGCAGCGCACCGCACAATTCCAACAAAGGGTCGAGGGTCACACGGTCAAAGAGTGAGCACACTAAACAAGTAGGGTGACTTCTGCTTGCTTAGCGGCCTTCCCAAAGTCTACTTGGGTAGCTTAAGGAACAAAAGTGGAAAGGTCAACTAACTAAGCCATGATGTCGCTTCTCGCACTTTGGTGTGACACGTTCACGCTTGACAGGACCTCCTTCACTACGCCCGTCTTTTGGATCTTCGGCGCTCGAGTTGGCTCCCTGCTCGGCAGCCATCGCTTCTCGGCAGATGATCGAACTGTGCCACAACTTCTTGGCTCGAAGACTCACATGCTCTGGCCATAGAGCCTTGCGACGTTTTCGTACCCGGGAAATTCTGTTTAAGTGGTGGAATCCTTTCGCCTGCCGCTCCCAGTCAGAAAAGTGGCGCTGAAAGTTCGAAACAAGAGACTTTAAGCTATGACAAGACGCCAAGGGCCAGACTCCTCCCAAAACAAGCCTTGTGTCAGAAAACTGCCACAAAGCCATCACACAAACTTCCAAGCCAGGTCAGCCCCAAACCTACAAAAGCCTCAGTGGAAGACACACTAAACCCTGAAGCTGCAGAAGCTGCTAAGCTTGTTAGAGCTTGTTAACGCTTGTTAACGCCTGTTACAGCTTGTTAAAGCTTGTTCAGCCCCCTGATTCCCCAAACCGAGGCAGGCGCCGCAGGCGCCAGCGGAGTCAAGCCCTCGACTCCCATTGCGCGAGGTTGGGGGGGGGGGCCGTCTTGGCCCCTCCCCAGTTTACCGCGGACTTGAGCTGTTTCTTTCGCATTTGGTGTGGGTGCAGCCTTGGGCGTTTGGGGGTACAGATTGCAGGAGTTTGCAGGGTCTAGGGTTGAACTGGGCCTTAGCCATTCACCCTGCAGAGCTGTTCATCTTCGGATCTTGTTGGGTTCGGACGGCTGAAGAAGTGGATTTAGGCGGCCGGGCCAGTCTGGGGCAGCTGGGCGTCGATTCAGGGGTGCTGCCTTTCTAGCTCTGCACAAGATTGGAAAGCTGCAAGCCGCGGACCGGGACACCGAAACACCGAAAGCACGTCCAGCACAAACGGCTCAGGCAGCAGCCTCAAAATCCTCAAAGCCAGCTTCCAAGGTCCAAGGGTACTGAAGAAGGCATCGACAGCTCCTGCACCTGAAACCTTACCTTCACTGCATCTAACATGCTAACTGTTGGAGATGGGATTCCTCATATGCATGAATTCAGTGCTGCCGAACTCACTTTATCGGATCCTGGTTTCGGATGCCCGTTCAGAGAGCAAAAAAGGCTGCATTGCCAAGTGCCATTATTAGAAGGGAGGGGTTTCGGCTTCTTTTCCACGACACAGCGGCGTATATGCGGCCAGGGCATATCGGCGCGGCTTTGGTACACGCGCCCCCACGCCCCAGTGTAGGCCTCCACCCCGCAGAGATCCTAAAGCCGCCCCGTGAGAGGCATCTCCCTGCGCAGGTGGGACCGTGAGCATCCAAGCTACTGTCCGTGGCTGTGCCAGGTCACTGGCCTTCGTTTCGAATGGATCTAGCCAACAGGCCTGCAATGAGCACCCCACTAACTTCAACCATGCCTAGAGCAATCACCCAGAAGCGCCTCATCCAGCGCATGTTCGAAAGCACCCAGCAGCCCGCTACTTTTGCAAGGGCCAGGGCTCGACTGTACACATGCCAACTATACAGCATGCGCCTGGAAAACGACAGGCACATACACAAACATACACGCACGCAGCTTAGTCAGCTGTCAGAAGCTGTGCGGGCGATCAGGTTCCCGGCAGTGGGACGGAGGATGCAAAATACGCGGCCAAGCTCTCGAATCGACACCCGGAACCCTGCCTTTGACCAATCTTATGGCTTTCTCTCGTAGCCGACTTTCCAACTCTACAGGAGGAGGTTTGCAGATTGGCATGCTCAGAACTCTCATCGATGTGAGTCATCTCAAAAGCTTTGCTCGATGAAGGTTATCGTTGCTAGTTCTCCGCATAGTAACGACATGTAACGACACCCCAGCTCCAAGCCATGAAGTTTTCACCGCGTAAAAAGCACAGAAACCACGGCTTGAGGAGTGATTCAGCGCGGTGGCTTGAAAGCTTTGGTGCTTAAGCCTCATAAAGGTTCTGAAGGCTTGAGTGCTTGACTTTCAGCAAAACAGTGTAACGTTGAGAGTCATACGAGGGGTTCGATCGGTGTGCACCTGCGGCTCGCGTGCACGGCGCACACGGCCCGGACCATGGGTTTTCCCCGAGGCCTGCTCGCAGTAAATCGTTCTCCTGCCCAGGTGCGCGATGGTGCGCATTGACGGGTGTGGCCGCACAGGGCCCATGGTCTGACAATGGGTTTTTCGAGCGTTGCTCGCATTTTGAACAAAAACCGTGCTCTAGCGGTCGGGGCCGCGGCAATCCTCGAAACGTTGGACCTCTGGGCTCACGCAATATGAAATTGTCGTCGTTTTTGGACGTCAGGGCTCGCGAGTTGCGAAACTGTCTACGAATTTGGACTTTTTGGCTCACCAAATGCGAAACAGTCGTCATGCTTGGCCGTCTCGGCTGGATGAAGTTGCGGCCCTCTTCTGGAGTTTACAGACGTCCATCTCAATGGTGCCCTCATGTGCTCGAACTGCTTTGGGACCCTGGATCCATCCATGCCGACGCATTGGGCACATGCCGGGCAACAAGGCCGTAAAAAAAAAAAAACACCGTGATGAAGGTCGTGCTTGGGTCTTGCTTGCAAGCTCCGAGCACAAGGTGCGCTTTGCAGTTGGGCTTTGACGAAATGGCCTTCCGGCGGGACAAGGAGGCGGAGGAGACGCCGTGAGATTGATGGAGAGAGAACGAGGCAGGAAACGTGATGAAACTTGATGAAACATGTGTCTTCCATCCCTGCCCTGCCAACACGGCGAAGCTCTGGGCCAAGATGCTGAACGCGAACGAGACGCCGCCATGCGCCGCCCAGAGCCCGGAAGTTGAAGTCGACGCAACCCTGGAAACAGGAGCCGTTCAGAGCCATAGGCCCTGACAGTAATATCCTTGCTTTGTTCCGTAAGCTACACTGCAAGAATCAAGTCTTCTGGGTGAGCTCTTGGGTGCTCTGGGACTCTCTTTGCTGGATGTTCTTCGAGTGCCAAGAGGATGTTGGCTGGAGCGCTTGCAGTGGTCTCGGCATGTTTTGGACGTCTTGGACCATTGGAGCGTTCCGTCCGCGTGGTCTCTCACTAACTGGGGTCTGCGATGGCATAATAGGGGTACTCCTGGCCTGACCCACCCGTGCCAGCGAGCTGACGCGCGTGCGCGAATTCAATCTAGAGTGAATTCGACCTGTCTGCGGCTCAGTGGACCTGTAAGCACAGTGAAGGCTTGGGGTTCGAGATTCGGGGAGCTTCGGACGCAGGATTTGAGGTTTCAAGCTGGATGGAAGGTTCCGTGGCATTCGGGGGCTCCATGCCTTGTCCTGAGGATGACAGGTACTTAGCAACCTCACTACTGCGGCGTCACGAGCTCGCTCCTAAACATTCCTAAACCCCAAACCCTGACTCGTGCACGTGCACCTCAAGACGCAAGACTCGAAACTCCGAAAATCCCAGGCCCGAAAAGCCCTGAGCCCACCTGCACCTGTGCCATAGCGGCTGGGCTTGTGCAAGTGCCTGGGAAGGTGCACGCTGGAACCAAGGGATGAAAGGGGGAGCTTGGAGGCCTCGGAGGCTCATACCAGCTCCAGCATTAGAGTCCGGGTGGCAAATTGCCGGGTCCGTGTTGCAGGGCCACCACTTGTAGCCTTCGGCACACCGGGCGCAGTTCCTGGGCACTGAACCCCAAACCAGGGCTCGCGCAGGGTGCGGTGTTCTTGAGCCTTGGGGTTCCTGAGCCTTGGGGAGTCCATTGCGGCGCTGAGGGATCGTCATTTATCAGACTTTTATCAGGGATCTAGGGTTTCCAGTTTCTAGGGCTTACAGGCTCTATAGGGTCTAGGCCCTAGGCGGCTTGGTCGAACCGCTCAACTACCAATGCTTCCAGGTGCGCCGCTGTAGCACCATTGGGCGGCAAGCCCTGGCGGCCAAGAGGTCGCTCAAAGACTCTATCTCAAACGCCCCCCAAAACCTAAGCCCTACCAGATATAAACCCCTCCAAGAGTGACCGCGAGTTGGAATCCTGGAGGTCCAACTTCACATGTGTAAAGCCCGCAGTAAACCCTGACACCCCCCTACCCCTGCCTGCGTGGGGAGGCACACCATCCCGCCCGGCGTGGTGGACGCGGCAGGCGTCGTGGTCGGCGGCATGGTTCGGCTGGTTGTGGAGGTTGTGGAGGTTGTTGCCTGGGGTTTGCGGGTGGCTTTTGCCAGTGCAGGGCTGGGAGGTTCACGGGTAGGCCTCGGGCTTTCAAGCCTTGCTCAAGCCTCGAGAAACTCCTGAAGCCGACCAAACACCTCCCACGCACACGACAACATCACGACAACATCACGACAACATCCCCCGGCTCGAAGAATTTCCAAGACTGCACTGAGGTTTCGGCCGGAGGCCCGCATTCACAGAGCTGGCCGGCACAGGGCCAGGCCTAGATTCATCGGGATGTGCCGGGCCGTTGCAGGGAATGTCAGGTCTGGGACGACCCTATACGACCGTAGCCACCCATGCATGTGACAGGATTCCGGGGGCGGGGCGGGAAGGGGAGGGAAGGAAGGGGGTTGGCAAGGGGAGAGGGGGCCTGCGAGGGCAGCTGGTCGCAGGCAGCCGCGCACTTCGCATCGCTGCCGCCGAAGCGGAGGCCGTCGGCCGTGGCGCGGCAGCCCTTGATGGTTTGGTGTTTATGTTGAGGGCCCCTTGAGGGCTTCTGGGTGAAGGTTTCAGGGCCTGTGAGCATAGGGTCAAAGGGAGCTTCCTGCAATGAGCGATGTCAGTTCAGCCTTGGTGGCAGGGTCAAACCATCAATGGCGGGGCTTGTCATGCTTGTGTCACGTATTCCAAGCGAGGGGAACTCCTGCGAGTAAGGTTTGTAGGACTCTATGCTCAAGAGCACTGGGGGCTGCTAGGCCCAACTGCACGGAGGCACATAGGCGCGTGCACGCTTGTTCTTCACAAGCAAGCCAAGCTTGCACGTGGCACGGCACGCTCGAGCCTTACAACAAAACGGTATTCCCATGTCCTCGCAGCCCCAACGAGCATTAACCAGTACCTCAAAGCAACCACCTTTGCAAGAATACCTGATGCCAAGCTGCAGCTGCGACTGTAGTCGTGGTGGGCATCGTGGTTGATGTGGTTGTGGCCCCCTGCGTGGTCGTCGTGGTGGTTGCGGCCGTCGTGCCTGCACTCATAGAGCGACCCCCAAAACCCAAACACTCTCCCTGCAGAGGCATACGGTGGCTGCCGCAGAGCTGCTTGAAGGTGGCGCGGAGAGGCAGGAGCCGACATGGTCGTAGGCAACCTTAGGTTGGTCTGCGTGGCCCTCAAGTGGCCCGAGATGGCACAAAGTCGCCCAAAGGTGGCCCCACGTGGCCCCAGATGGGCCAAGCGGCCGAGCGGTCATTCACGAAAGAGAGGATGCAGCGCGTCTGCTCTTCGAAGCTCAGATCGAAGAGGTCTTGGCCGCAGCCGGGAATGACGCCTCTGAGGTGAGCTCGAAAGGAGTTCAGGGGTTTAGGGATGTGGGCTGAGATGAGGGGAGGGCTGAGGGTTTGGAGCTCAGGGTTCGGGGTTGAATGAGGGGATCTTGGCAAGTGGGGAAAATCCGACCGAGCGGCCGTTCGTCAGCTTGTACCAGGCCGCCACGGACCGCCAGCCGTACTGTGGGCTCTGGAAGAACCTTCGTGTCGGATGCGCCCCCGCCTGAACCTTGCAAGCCTGACTTCAAGATCTGAAGCAGCCAGACACCCCGCCTCAAGTCCTAGATGTCCCACATTCCAGCAGCTTCCAACACTCTTTACCTTCCCTTGCACAGCGCGACTCGTCTTCCCAGAGCACTTTGCGCCGAGATGCTGGTACTGGTCGGGAGCCATGGCATTGAACTGCGAGATGAAGTTCCTGGGTTTTCAGGTTCCTGAAACTCACCAGGGTATACCAGGGTGCAAAGGAGCTCTGCAGCACAAAGAGCAGCAAGGATAAACATGAAGAACACACATCCCACAGAGGCCCGGGTGAACTCCGCCGACACCGAGCGGCATGCCGGGGAAGAGCTGGTCCATGTCCTGCGGGGCCGCGAGGGCCAGGGTGCAGGCGTGTCGCACCTTCTCCCGCAAGCCTCAGCCCTATATGGATTCAAGGAAGCGCCGGTCCTCCACGTTCGTCCGCCAGTTGCCGGGGATCATGTGGATGAGCCCGGCACCTGGAATCCGCCCGTTCAAAACAAGCACAAGAGCAGATGATGAAAGACGACACCCAAGCCCACCCCAAGCCCCATCCCATCCCATGCCATGCAGATTTCACGGTCTTCCAGGTCGGGTGGCCTCCCGAGCCTTGGGGGCAATATTTGTGGAACAATGTGGAACATGCGGTGGCACCTCCATCCCTTGGCTGGTAGACGGTTGAGAAATAGGCCGTCTCGAAGGTGATCTCAGCGAGGAACGTCGGGTTAAACGGCTTTCTTCGCAGCTCGATCTTCATGTGTCGCCACGTTGCACATCTCTATTTTTTACGGCAGACATGATCATAGAATTTCACTGCGCTAACGTCTCTCAAGGGGCACTCTCCGTCCCTGGCTTTAGAGAACCCAGGCCAAACCCATGTCCAGTTTAACAACTGCAGGAGCCTGTGCCAGCATCTTGTGGATGGCCGTCTGGTCGTTGCACTTGTTCACGGCAGGGTCTGACAGCATCTCGTTCCTGCGGGATCTGAGGTTCGAGAGTTTGCACACGCCTCGGAGAGCTTAGAGAGTGTAGAGAGCTTCTAAGGCTTAGGCGCCACTCGGGGACCAAGGTTTCAGAGGAGGATCGCCCGCGGGCTGTTGCGGGAAACGTCTGGAGTGTCGAGCTGTCACATGGAGCAAGCAGATCCCATTGCGCCCGAAATCGCCCAGACCCGGTCTGCATGGCCAACAGTCGGTTTCTGCGAGGTGCGTTGGCTGACACAAGTCTGGCTGCAAACTTGAAAGGGTCGCGGAGCACAGTGCGCAAAAGAAGCCTTGCCCAAGTCGGCCAAGGCTCAAAGCATCCACCCACTCCTGGTGCAGGATTTGCAGTGTTGAATTCGGGACACTTTCAGCCACTCTCGCCCCAGCCTTGGAGCAGTAGAACCCATACTCGTATCCAGACGGGCCGGTCACGTCCTTGTCCTGCGTGCATACGATCAGGAACGCGGTGGCTGCTTCTCGCGAGGCAAGGTGTGAATTCAGGACTCTTGTTTCACCACACGAGCAAAATCCAGAATCCGTCCATTTTCCTGGTAATGGCAACATCAACATGTGGCACGAATGCCGGATTACGCGAATGGTCAAGTTCAGCTGTTTTCGTGAATGTTCTAGAATACCTTCAGTACCAGCCATCCCTTTGAACCTCACCATCGCTGCTTACCTGTTGTTCACAACCCGGTTTTGAAGTGTGCGCCTAACTTACAAATTCAATTTGAAAAACGAAGCAAAGCCGACAAACGTTCAACGATTAAGTAAGATCATGAAAGGACATGTTGGCAAGAGAGCCTTGTCACTTTCATGATTGCACAACAACTTTGCCTACTAAAGAATGTTTTTTGCCGCAAACCTGCTATGTTCAGCTGCAATCCGTTCTTTCAAAGCCGCAAGCGAAAAAGCGTTGCTACAGGTACGTTAACGGTCGACCTTTGGGTTCAGCGACTCACTGGCACTCATAGTCTCAAAGGGGGACTCTTCCAGACGTTGGCTTGCCGGCCTTTGTGAAACTGCTTGAGTTCTCCAGGCTAGCTCTGTGTTTGGATAGCTTGGTAAGGACTAGAGTTTGGGGTTCAAGGGTGTTTGGATGCTGTTTGGATGTTTGCGGTGTGGCGGCTATACGTAGGCCCAGCCCGAGTGCACCTGCGAAACATCGCACTTCGGCCAGTATGTAGATTTGCCTCGGCCCGGGGATAAGCCCGAAACACACAGTCCTCTCAGGTGCGGGGCTCGTTTCTGTCTTCAGGGGCCAGGGGGCCAAAGAAGGTGTCAGGAGCATTTTTGGGGCGCTTAGATGTGCTGAGGCAGCCCAGCAGCCGTTGATGCACGTCAGGGTCTCCTGGGTAACCTGGGCTTGTGGGTGGTGACCCGAGTGTTTGGGGATGTCTTAGGGGTTGCATGTGGTTGCGAGTAGCTTTTCAGACTACAAGCTGCCCGACAGCCTGCAACCAACCGGAGCCTCAAGGCCAGCAACTTCAGGAGACAGAGACCTGACTGAAGCCACGCTCCAGCCAAAAAAAATCAAAAAAACACATGAAAAAAAGCTCCGAAACCGAAGCACTGCGCCTCGAACCCCGAACCCTCAAAACGTCCAAGTCCCCGCACGTCAACACATGCGTTTCCCTCCAGCTTCTCCAGCCCAAGCGCACAGGTTGGTGTTGAGCCGGTGGACGTCGTTGCACCTCCGGTTGTCGTCGCGCCTGCTATTTGGGCTAAGATTGGATTCTGCCCCGAGACCGCAGTGCGGGGATCAAGCATCCGTTGTCTGGCCCTGAAGTGAAGTGTGCCCCTATACCAAAAATGACACCTGTTTACGTGCTAGGTGTGACTTCTACAGACGTGCATCTGCCAAGTATCTACTCGCGACTGGTATGCTACAGTGCGGGTCCACAGTGTCTTGCAATTGCTGCTCTCTAGTTGTCGTTCATGGCCTCCTCTGGTTGTCGTAGTCGTCGTAGTAGGGGCACTGGTGACCGTGGCGGTCGTGCCACCGCCGGAGACAATCTGGAGGTCACGGGGGCAGGCTTAGCCAACCAACAATGTACAAAACAGGCGGTTCTGCCGGCTTCGTGAACGCACAGCATGTTTCAGACCCCTTTCACAATACGCAAACTCTGCCCCGAGTCGTCATCGCAAGAAAGATTTAAGAGCAGATCAAGGGATCATCAAGGTGCAGGCGCAACGGTTGAGAACAGGAAGTCGACTGCACGAAATCACATCTTGCCCAGCTATACACACCGTTAGACTACCGTTAGACTGCCGTTAGACTACCGTCAGACTACTGTGAGACTACCGTTTAGAGGCATCCCTCGAGAAAGGATGAGCCCACCCCTCTCTTGCCAGAAACTGACCAGTGGAATCGTGCAAACCCAGACTAAAACAGCTGGGGATCCACTGAGGAGTGGGCCTGGATGTCCGCACAGTTCCGAAATTCCTCGCCGCAGCCGCAGCGGTTGCAGCCTGCTTCGTTTTGGCCCTCATGCCTCAATATGTACACCTGCACCGCGGCACAACCCATCCTCAAAGATGCGGCCCGCGCCATGAATCAGAAGTGTGCAGAGGTGTGCAGCGGTGGTTGGTGAAGTACCTGAAATCCCTCCCATCCCCGAAACCTGAAACAATGCCGGGCTCAAATCCGGAAAAAGTGCGATGCCTCCACCAGGACAAGTGTTGCCTGAGCTTGAGGCGTCCGGCGGGGCCAGGGGTGGTGTGGCTTTGTGCCCCGGGAACTGTTTCGGGGGCGTGGACTGCACACAGATGGTTCTGGTCTGGGGCTTGGATACGGTCTTGTAGTGTTGAAGGCTCAAGGCTTTGTAGTTTAGCGAGGGTGTACAGGTTTGAGGCCCAAGGTCAAGGTGCCGACGCCCCAGTCGCTCGGTCTGTAGCCATTGCTGCTGAGTTCCTGAACACCAACGCTGCAACACCAAAGCTCGGTGTCGGCTAGTGTTTTCGGGCAAGGCTTCACAACTGATGTGCGCATCATACATATCGAAGCTTGCCGTTTTCCAAGCACTCATGCATAACAAGGACGAGGAATCGACCTGACTGAATGCAGCGGCAGTCCTCCCCGAGCCACTTGAACGTTGCCGGCCCGTCCATCCCGATCCCACCCCCACAGCCTTGTGCCCGAGCCCTTTCACTACTGCAAGATTTCACAGCGACCTTGGTGGAAGGACGCCTATGCAGCATCGCACATGTGTTGCACTGGCCCAGTACTGCAGCAGGAACGCATCTCGGGCAGGAGTGCCCACACGCTTGTGCAGTACCACAAGTATGTCCGAAAAGTGCCGGACATAAGACATGGACAAATAAATCCCAAAGAGAGCCCTTCAAGGGACAAAAACACCCCACAGCCGAACCCATCACCTGAGCCCTTCCCCCATCTCACAGCTGCCTGCGCGAAACAGCCATAGTCAGGCGCAGGAATGCAGCTATTCGCCGACCACCACCTGCAAAAACACAGACAGACAGAGACAGAGAGAGAGAGAGAGAGAGAGAGACCTTGAACACTGCGGCTGTGAGTGACATGTTTTGGGTTTGGGAGGGGGGCTTAGTGGCTTGGCCTGCCCCGTAGGTGCCGGTACACTAGCCGGGGGGGTGCGCTGATGGACTGGTACTCCACGTTGGAGAAGAGGGTGTAGATGGCAGGATATGTTAGGCCCAAAGCTCTGAGGCTGCGCCCCAAAATCCTGAATCCTGACCCGGTCAGTCCCGACAGACGCCCTTCAAGACGAGTGCCCAAGCACACCCGGAAGCCTCCCAAAAAAAGGCTTGTGCCTTTGGGTTTCTAGCTTGTCCCCAGTCTTTCCCCTGAACCTACACCCTGGTCCTAATCCTCGACCTCGGCGACAGCATGCATGGTGCGAAACTGGCTGCTGAAGAAAACGCAGAGCAGCGGAGCGTGGACACGAGGCATGTCGTGTCATGTTTGGGGCGTGTAGAGCTTGCCTGCGGGACTAGGCCGCGTGGGCAGTGTTGCCTTGCTGCAGGCCATCTCAGCCCTGAGATTCCCGAACTCCGACAAGGGCCTCCACTGCAGCGTGCAGGCGGTGCACTGCAGGCCGACCGGCACCTTCCTCGGAGGATTGGGGTTGCCAGCAAGGGCCCTTGAACAAAACAGCCTGAAAACAAACCCTGCACAAAACCCAAAATCCTCAAACACCCTTTGCTTGCAAACCCAACCCCTAGAAAGCCCCTCGACCCCAGGCGGCCCAGCGTCAGGTAAAAGGTGTGCAAGTCCTGCCCGGAGGGAGAGAAGCCACCTTCCCAAGCGGGCATCTGGAAAGCATGCTGAAGTTTGCGTTTAGGGGGCAGGGGTGCAGGGACTAAGCCGAGTTCGCGAAGCCACGAAAGCCATCATGCACCTGAAATGGGTGACTGGTTGGCACCATTGCAAACACCAGGTACAGTCAGATCCCGAAGTCATAACAATTGCTAATTGCAGTGGGGGAACCATCCCCCCCAAGGAACTGCGCGTTATGACTTATTTCTGGGAAGTCAAAAATTTGGCTTTCCCCCCAATGAGCTGCTGTGATTCAAGCACACAAAACAAGTCCAGACATGTAACTTTTATGCCCAGTCCCCTGTCAAGGATCCTCGGGATTGTCTGAGGATCTCAGCTCTAGGAGGTATCCCCCCCTAAAATTCCAGGAATTTTAGGAATATGTTTTGGGGGGGGGGGGGGTGTACATTCTTCCGGGGCCCTGCAGATCCAGGAAATAGAAGTCGTATCATTCAGCGGTCACACTGGGGATTTGCCTTGTCTAACATGTGACTGAAAACAATGTGCTGGTTTTCTTTTGCCAGAAGCCATTTCGGTGGGGGGCTCGTGGGCTGGTGGTTGTGACAGCAGTCGGACCCTAAACTGTTGGCTTTGAAAAACAAACAGAATCTGTAAACATTCACAAATCGCACGTTGGGGTATGGCCAGCCGTGTCGCCGCACGTATCGCCGCGGCCCGCACAACCCTCAACCCAAAACGCGGAGCGCGCAAGGCTGCACAAAACAATGCGATTGGTTACTGTGTCACCAGCGGTTCGTTGGGGGAAGCGAAATATTATGAGTTATGAGTTCCAACTATTGTTTTTCCGTGCGAAAAGGGCCTATTGCATATGCACCGTACCACAAGGCATCTTATATCGGACATGTCTGGGCCAGTCCTACGCGAGCCAGGATTAGAATGGATTAGGCCGGGCACATGTTCCAAAACACGTCACACAATCCTGGTGATATCAGAGCTTGAATACCTGCAATCTCGGCACCTTATACATCACCACTTTTCCCCCTAAGTACACTCCCCCCCCCCCAATTATACATCAGTTGCATGGGGATCTTCTCCCCAAGTGATTGCAAGCAACACAGGAAAAAATGTTATGTTTTCGGGGTTCGACTGTACCCATCCGGACCCGTCCGGGGACCTGGTGGAAGGTAGAAGCGCTCAGGGTGCCGCCTGACAGGGCGTAGTTCTGGGGAGCTTGTCGGCTTACGTGGGTTAGCTGAATAATGCAGTCTTGTTCTCTTCGGCGCTTGACGACGGGGCTTTCCTCGGGCCTCTATATGTTTGCTTGTTACCACCATCAGCCCCTCGGAATCACGTTAGAACCCCCTCTTCAACTCGACTCTGAGGAGTTGCCGGGGCACGTGTCCAGCGGCTGGCAGCCCGCCCGTCTGTCGTTCGACCCGCAGTCCGTGAGGCCCGCCTCCTGGGGGTTTAGGGTTCTGGGGTGGCGAGGGATTGGACTTAGAACTTCAGAGCCTTTAGGCCTTTGCGGAGGTCGCGTCTCGAGGTTAGGGGTGCTTGGTGCTTGCTGCTGGCCGGGACCTTCCAGTGCGAACTGCCTTCCTCTTCCACGGCCATCTTACATAGATGCTTGGCACTTACGTATGTATTCATGCATGCAGAACGCACTGTCGTGTGTTGCCACGCGGGCAAGGACTAAGAATTTCAGTGGAACACGTCACGCGGGATCGGTGGCTGGGTGGACGCATGAGCTGAGACGACTGCTCGTGATAGTAGCAATTAACGAGGTCAAAATATTCTGGTGAGCGCGTATGTGTGGAGAGCCACGCGCGTGTACATGCGTGCGTGCATGCATGTACAAGCATGTAACAGTATGTGTATTGGTGAACCTGTATCTCTCTGCATATACATGGAATTACACATGTGTGCCCTTCTACGGGCAGGCATTTAGTTACATGTATCTGATGCATGTGCATGTTGTTACAAGTCTCTGTGTGTACGCGCTTGTATGCAAATCCAGAATATGCGTGCGCATGCACGTGCGTGCAAACAGACGGCTGGCACTGTAACAGTGGACTGCCGTTGCAAGCCGTTGTAAGTATGGTGCTGCAGGCATGTTCAACTGTGCTGGCATGCATCGACGACACGTGGACTACACTCTTGATCCTGGAGGCTAAGTGCCACAGGCCGTTCTGTGCTACCCTGCCTGCGGGCTGGCACGCTCCAGGATCCACTTGTCCAAGCAGCTCTGTGCATTGGCCAAAGATGATGAAATCTGCTGCTCGCCTCGGCATAGGTAGGAGTTCTGGAGGTTCTGGTTGCAGCTTCAATCAACTGTCGCCTCAGGGCTTCCTTTCCTGGGCGAGTTCCGACTCCGAGAAGTTGGGCACAGCAATTGCTAGTGACCGGGCTTGCGGGGTGTTTCATGCTTGCGCCTGCTGCGAAAACAATATTCATCAGTTCCGAATCGAACCAAGCCACACACGCTGAACTCGAAATGCCCCTTGTGGTGGGCAGTGATGCGGATGGTGACCTCCACAATCGTTCCTGATGTCCACGTCCTGCCAAACAACTCGTCCCTGCACCGGGTTGTAGGACGAGGCTGGCAGGGAATTCGGGCATTCAGGCCGTGTGTGATTTTTCGTGTTGAGGGTTGCATCCCAAAACCAATGGGCAGTACATAGCCTGACATGCCAAATCCGCCAACGAACACTTCTTCCGGTTCTTCCGGGGGCTTGAACCTCACGGGTGGGCCGCCAGCATTCACGTAGTTGCCTGAGTGACTGAATGAGAGTGAGAGAGAGACTGAATGAGAGAGAGAGAGAGAGAGCGAGAGAGCGACTGAATGAGAGAGAGAGAGAAAGAAAAAAGTGAGAAAAAAAACAGAGACCGAGAGAGTGAGAGAGCGCGCGGGGAGCGGAATGTTGTCCCCCTCTACCCTCCAGAGAGGAGGAGGACTGCGAAAAAACGCAATGGCGTGGATCACTCAGAGAGAGAGAGAGAGAGCAACGGTGGAATCCGACATGCGTGGGTTGAATCCGACAGCCTCCTATGGTTGGAAGGGAAAGATGCGGAGAGACGTAGAGAGACGTAGAGAGCGACTTCACGAAAAGATTGCCAGAACCCGAATAAACGAACCTTCACACCCTTAGCCTGAAACCCGACAGAAGCCAACAGAATACTTGAGCCACGCGTCTGTCGGAGGGCCATTGGTTGCCATCGCCACAAATGCCGTTGCCATTGCCGCAGTGCGGGCAATAGCCTGAAGTTGCAAAGTGCTTTTGGAACGTGGAGGGGCCTAGGGTTGTGGAAGGGTCTAGTGAGTCTAGTAGGCCAACACTTGGTACACGCAGGACAACCAAACACTTAGCGACTTAGCGATTTTTGCGGGCAGAGATGTCAAGAACACACAGCGTCCCAAACAACACAAATAAGTCCGAAACAGTTTCTCTGCCCTGAGCCCTCAAGCCCTGGAGCCTTGAGGCTTCGATTTGACAGTACTTGGCACTCTGGGCGGCCCCCGAAACCCAAAGCCCAACCCGACATTGGCATCGGGCGGCCGTTCTTCGGCCCGGAGTCGACGTTGCGGGCGGCTGGCTCGACCATGAAGCCATGCCCTGGCGTGCTGAAACTCCCAGGGGCCTTCGGGGTTTTTCCGATGGCAAGACTTGTTGAGTCTCGGAAGTTTAAGGCTTCAGGTGCGAGCTTTGTATCGATGGCTTTCACGACGAAGCAGGACCCCACAGCACTAGCACCCAAACCGAAGCACCCCTAAACCAGCCCCCAAACCGTGCCAACCAGCAACAACAGCAAACCGGCACGGAGCGCCCCAGGCGCCATGGATCGAGGATGCGGCAAGGACCAGCAGGGCCTGGCCATCATGTTCCGCGGGTTTGGGGTCTGTGGGGCGCTGCAGTGTCAGAGTCGTCCCGCTTGGGGTGACTTCAGTTTCTGAGCGAAGTGCTCGGCTACTGGCAACCCAAATCCCAAAAACACCCACAACCACCCAAACTCAGAGCCCACAAGACTGAGCGCCGGCGCTCGAGTGTAGGATCCCATGGCTTCTGAAGCACGGCAGACAGGGCGCTTCTCCCCCGAAAAAACGCGGATACGGCTGAGGGATGCGGAAGAGACGATAATACACATTGCGAATGTTGCATACTCAAGCACCATCCTCGCCAATTTACTTCTTTCTCACTACTTTAGTCGTTTCGGCCTTTGCTGATGCGAGAAGTGCATGGCTGCTTTCTTCCACGACACAGCGGCGTAGGCGGCCAGGGTATGCCGGCGCAGCTTTGGTGCAAGCGCACGCACGCCCCGGGGCAAACCCAAGGAATGCTGTAGGCCACCACCCCGCAGAGATCCTAAAGCCGCCCCGTGCGAGGCATCTCCCTGCGGAGGTGGGACCGTGAGCATCCCAAGCTACTGTCGGTGGCTGTGCCAGGTCACTGGCATTCTTTTCGATCTGGCCCAGCGCAGGTGACTGCAACAGGCGTTCAATGTGCACCCTACTAACTTCAACCATGCCTAAAGCAATCACCCAAAACATCCAGCGCATGTTCGAAAGCACCCAGCAGCCCGCTACTTTTGCAAGGGCTGGGACTCGACTGTACACATGCCAACTATACAGCATGCGCCTGGAGAACGACAAGCACATACACAAACATACACGCACGCAGCTTAGTCAGCTGTCAGAAGCTGTGCGGGCGATCAGGTTCCCGACAGTGGGACGGAGGATGCAAAATACGCGGCCAAGTTCTCGAATCGACGCCCGGCCTTTGACCAATCTTGTGGCTTTCTCTCGTAGCCGACTTCCCAATTCTACAGGAGCAGTATGGCATGCTCAGAACTCTCAACGATGTAGGAGAGTCATCTCAACATCTCAAACGTTGCTCGGCGAAGCTTCTCATTGCTAGTTCTCGGCATAGTTTTTTAACAGGCTCAGAACACCGAAGAGCTTAGGCGCTCAAAGGCTTTGGGGTTTTTAACGGCCTAGGTGCTTGACCTTAGGGGGTACTCCTGGCCTGACCCACCCGTGCCAGCGAGCTGACGCGCGTGCGCGAATTCAATCTAGAGTGAATTCGACCTGTCTGCGGCTCAGTGGACCTGTAAGCACAGTGAAGGCTTGGGGTTCGAGATTCGGGGAGCTTCGGACGTAGGATTTGAGGTTTCAAGCTGGATGGAAGGTTCCGTGGCATTCGGGGGCTCCATGCCTTGTCCTGAGGATGACAGGTACTTAGCAACCTCACTACTGAGGCGTCACGAGCTCGCTCCTAAACATTCCTAAACCCCAAACCCTGACTCGTGCACGTGCACCTCAAGACGCAAGACTCGAAACTCCGAAAAGCCCTGAGCCCACCTGCACCTGTGCCATAGCGGCTGGGCTTGTGCAAGTGCCTGGGAAGGTGCACGCTGGAACCAAGGGATGAAAGGGGGAGCTTGGAGGCCTCGGAGCCTTCTGCTCGGCTCATACCAGCTCCAGCATTAGAGTCCGGGTGGCAAATTGCCGGGTCCGTGTTGCAGGGCCACCACTTGTAGCCTTCGGCACACCGGGCGCAGTTCCTGGGCACTGAACCCCAAACCAGGGCTCGCGCAGGGTGCGGTGTTCTTGAGCCTTGGGGTTCCTGAGCCTTGGGGAGTCCATTGCGGCGCTGAGGGATCGTCATTTATCAGACTTTTATCAGGGATCTAGGGTTTCCAGTTTCTAGGGCTTACAGGCTCTATAGGGTCTAGGCCCTAGGCGGCTTGGTCGAACCGCTCAACTACCAATGCTTCCAGGTGCGCCGCTGTAGCACCATTGGGCGGCAAGCCCTGGCGGCCAAGAGGTCGCTCAAAGACTCTATCTCAAACGCCCCCCAAAACCTAAGCCCTACCAGATATAAACCCCTCCAAGAGTGACCGCGAGTTGGAATCCTGGAGGTCCAACTTCACATGTGTAAAGCCCGCAGTAAACCCTGACACCCCCCTACCCCTGCCTGCGTGGGGAGGCACACCATCCCGCCCGGCGTGGTGGACGCGGCAGGCGTCGTGGTCGGCGGCATGGTTCGGCTGGTTGTGGAGGTTGTGGAGGTTGTTGCCTGGGGTTTGCGGGTGGCTTTTGCCAGTGCAGGGCTGGGAGGTTCACGGGTAGGCCTCGGGCTTTCAAGCCTTGCTCAAGCCTCGAGAAACTCCTGAAGCCGACCAAACACCTCCCACGCACACGACAACATCACGACAACATCACGACAACATCCCCCGGCTCGAAGAATTTCCAAGACTGCACTGAGGTTTCGGCCGGAGGCCCGCATTCACAGAGCTGGCCGGCACAGGGCCAGGCCTAGATTCATCGGGATGTGCCGGGCCGTTGCAGGGAATGTCAGGTCTGGGACGACCCTATACGACCGTAGCCACCCATGCATGTGACAGGATTCCGGGGGCGGGGCGGGAAGGGGAGGGAAGGAAGGGGGTTGGCAAGGGGAGAGGGGGCCTGCGAGGGCAGCTGGTCGCAGGCAGCCGCGCACTTCGCATCGCTGCCGCCGAAGCGGAGGCCGTCGGCCGTGGCGCGGCAGCCCTTGATGGTTTGGTGTTTATGTTGAGGGCCCCTTGAGGGCTTCTGGGTGAAGGTTTCAGGGCCTGTGAGCATAGGGTCAAAGGGAGCTTCCTGCAATGAGCGATGTCAGTTCAGCCTTGGTGGCAGGGTCAAACCATCAATGGCGGGGCTTGTCATGCTTGTGTCACGTATTCCAAGCGAGGGGAACTCCTGCGAGTAAGGTTTGTAGGACTCTATGCTCAAGAGCACTGGGGGCTGCTAGGCCCAACTGCACGGAGGCACATAGGCGCGCGCGCTTGTTCTTCACAAGCAAGCCAAGCTTGCACGTGGCACGGCACGCTCGAGCCTTACAACAAAACGGTATTCCCATGTCCTCGCAGCCCCAACGAGCATTAACCAGTACCTCAAAGCAACCACCTTTGCAAGAATACCTGATGCCAAGCTGCAGCTGCGACTGTAGTCGTGGTGGGCATCGTGGTTGATGTGGTTGTGGCCCCCTGCGTGGTCGTCGTGGTGGTTGCGGCCGTCGTGCCTGCACTCATAGAGCGACCCCCAAAACCCAAACACTCTCCCTGCAGAGGCATACGGTGGCTGCCGCAGAGCTGCTTGAAGGTGGCGCGGAGAGGCAGGAGCCGACATGGTCGTAGGCAACCTTAGGTTGGTCTGCGTGGCCCTCAAGTGGCCCGAGATGGCACAAAGTCGCCCAAAGGTGGCCCTACGTGGCCCCAGATGGGCCAAGCGGCCGAGCGGTCATTCACGAAAGAGAGGATGCAGCGCGTCTGCTCTTCGAAGCTCAGATCGAAGAGGTCTTGGCCGCAGCCGGGAATGACGCCTCTGAGGTGAGCTCGAAAGGAGTTCAGGGGTTTAGGGATGTGGGCTGAGATGAGGGGAGGGCTGAGGGTTTGGAGCTCAGGGTTCGGGGTTGAATGAGGGGATCTTGGCAAGTGGGGAAAATCCGACCGAGCGGCCGTTCGTCAGCTTGTACCAGGCCGCCACGGACCGCCAGCCGTACTGTGGGCTCTGGAAGAACCTTCGTGTCGGATGCGCCCCCGCCTGAACCTTGCAAGCCTGACTTCAAGATCTGAAGCAGCCAGCCACCCCGCCTCAAGTCCTAGATGTCCCACATTCCAGCAGCTTCCAACACTCTTTACCTTCCCTTGCACAGCGCGACTCGTCTTCCCAGAGCACTTTGCGCCGAGATGCTGGTACTGGTCGGGAGCCATGGCATTGAACTGCGAGATGAAGTTCCTGGGTTTTCAGGTTCCTGAAACTCACCAGGGTATACCAGGGTGCAAAGGAGCTCCACAAAGAGCAGCAAGGATAAACATGAAGAACACACATCCCACAGAGGCCCGGGTGAACTCCGCCGACACCGAGCGGCATGCCGGGGAAGAGCTGGTCCATGTCCTGCGGGGCCGCGAGGGCCAGGGTGCAGGCGTGTCGCACCTTCTCCCGCAAGCCTCAGCCCTATATGGATTCAAGGAAGCGCCGGTCCTCCACGTTCGTCCGCCAGTTGCCGGGGATCATGTGGATGAGCCCGGCACCTGGAATCCGCCCGTTCAAAACAAGCACAAGAGCAGATGATGAAAGACGACACCCAAGCCCACCCCAAGCCCCATCCCATCCCATGCCATGCAGATTTCACGGTCTTCCAGGTCGGGTGGCCTCCCGAGCCTTGGGGGCAATATTTGTGGAACAATGTGGAACATGCGGTGGCACCTCCATCCCTTGGCTGGTAGACGGTTGAGAAATAGGCCGTCTCGAAGGTGATCTCAGCGAGGAACGTCGGGTTAAACGGCTTTCTTCGCAGCTCGATCTTCATGTGTCGCCACGTTGCACATCTCTATTTTTTACGGCAGACATGATCATAGAATTTCACTGCGCTAACGTCTCTCAAGGGGCACTCTCCGTCCCTGGCTTTAGAGAACCCAGGCCAAACCCATGTCCAGTTTAACAACTGCAGGAGCCTGTGCCAGCATCTTGTGGATGGCCGTCTGGTCGTTGCACTTGTTCACGGCAGGGTCTGACAGCATCTCGTTCCTGCGGGATCTGAGGTTCGAGAGTTTGCACACGCCTCGGAGAGCTTAGAGAGTGTAGAGAGCTTCTAAGGCTTAGGCGCCACTCGGGGACCAAGGTTTCAGAGGAGGATCGCCCGCGGGCTGTTGCGGGAAACGTCTGGAGTGTCGAGCTGTCACATGGAGCAAGCAGATCCCATTGCGCCCGAAATCGCCCAGACCCGGTCTGCATGGCCAACAGTCGGTTTCTGCGAGGTGCGTTGGCTGACACAAGTCTGGCTGCAAACTTGAAAGGGTCGCGGAGCACAGTGCGCAAAAGAAGCCTTGCCCAAGTCGGCCAAGGCTCAAAGCATCCACCCACTCCTGGTGCAGGATTTGCAGTGTTGAATTCGGGACACTTTCAGCCACTCTCGCCCCAGCCTTGGAGCAGTAGAACCCATACTCGTATCCAGACGGGCCGGTCACGTCCTTGTCCTGCGTGCATACGATCAGGAACGCGGTGGCTGCTTCTCGCGAGGCAAGGTGTGAATTCAGGACTCTTGTTTCACCACACGAGCAAAATCCAGAATCCGTCCATTTTCCTGGTAATGGCAACATCAACATGTGGCACGAATGCCGGATTACGCGAATGGTCAAGTTCAGCTGTTTTCGTGAATGTTCTAGAATACCTTCAGTACCAGCCATCCCTTTGAACCTCACCATCGCTGCTTACCTGTTGTTCACAACCCGGTTTTGAAGTGTGCGCCTAACTTACAAATTCAATTTGAAAAACGAAGCAAAGCCGACAAACGTTCAACGATTAAGTAAGATCATGAAAGGACATGTTGGCAAGAGAGCCTTGTCACTTTCATGATTGCACAACAACTTTGCCTACTAAAGAATGTTTTTTGCCGCAAACCTGCTATGTTCAGCTGCAATCCGTTCTTTCAAAGCCGCAAGCGAAAAAGCGTTGCTACAGGTACGTTAACGGTCGACCTTTGGGTTCAGCGACTCACTGGCACTCATAGTCTCAAAGGGGGACTCTTCCAGACGTTGGCTTGCCGGCCTTTGTGAAACTGCTTGAGTTCTCCAGGCTAGCTCTGTGTTTGGATAGCTTGGTAAGGACTAGAGTTTGGGGTTCAAGGGTGTTTGGATGCTGTTTGGATGTTTGCGGTGTGGCGGCTATACGTAGGCCCAGCCCGAGTGCACCTGCGAAACATCGCACTTCGGCCAGTATGTAGATTTGCCTCGGCCCGGGGATAAGCCCGAAACACACAGTCCTCTCAGGTGCGGGGCTCGTTTCTGTCTTCAGGGGCCAGGGGGCCAAAGAAGGTGTCAGGAGCATTTTTGGGGCGCTTAGATGTGCTGAGGCAGCCCAGCAGCCGTTGATGCACGTCAGGGTCTCCTGGGTAACCTGGGCTTGTGGGTGGTGACCCGAGTGTTTGGGGATGTCTTAGGGGTTGCATGTGGTTGCGAGTAGCTTTTCAGACTACAAGCTGCCCGACAGCCTGCAACCAACCGGAGCCTCAAGGCCAGCAACTTCAGGAGACAGAGACCTGACTGAAGCCACGCTCCAGCCAAAAAAAATCAAAAAAACACATGAAAAAAAGCTCCGAAACCGAAGCACTGCGCCTCGAACCCCGAACCCTCAAAACGTCCAAGTCCCCGCACGTCAACACATGCGTTTCCCTCCAGCTTCTCCAGCCCAAGCGCACAGGTTGGTGTTGAGCCGGTGGACGTCGTTGCACCTCCGGTTGTCGTCGCGCCTGCTATTTGGGCTAAGATTGGATTCTGCCCCGAGACCGCAGTGCGGGGATCAAGCATCCGTTGTCTGGCCCTGAAGTGAAGTGTGCCCCTATACCAAAAATGACACCTGTTTACGTGCTAGGTGTGACTTCTACAGACGTGCATCTGCCAAGTATCTACTCGCGACTGGTATGCTACAGTGCGGGTCCACAGTGTCTTGCAATTGCTGCTCTCTAGTTGTCGTTCATGGCCTCCTCTGGTTGTCGTAGTCGTCGTAGTAGGGGCACTGGTGACCGTGGCGGTCGTGCCACCGCCGGAGACAATCTGGAGGTCACGGGGGCAGGCTTAGCCAACCAACAATGTACAAAACAGGCGGTTCTGCCGGCTTCGTGAACGCACAGCATGTTTCAGACCCCTTTCACAATACGCAAACTCTGCCCCGAGTCGTCATCGCAAGAAAGATTTAAGAGCAGATCAAGGGATCATCAAGGTGCAGGCGCAACGGTTGAGAACAGGAAGTCGACTGCACGAAATCACATCTTGCCCAGCTATACACACCGTTAGACTACCGTTAGACTGCCGTTAGACTACCGTCAGACTACTGTGAGACTACCGTTTAGAGGCATCCCTCGAGAAAGGATGAGCCCACCCCTCTCTTGCCAGAAACTGACCAGTGGAATCGTGCAAACCCAGACTAAAACAGCTGGGGATCCACTGAGGAGTGGGCCTGGATGTCCGCACAGTTCCGAAATTCCTCGCCGCAGCCGCAGCGGTTGCAGCCTGCTTCGTTTTGGCCCTCATGCCTCAATATGTACACCTGCACCGCGGCACAACCCATCCTCAAAGATGCGGCCCGCGCCATGAATCAGAAGTGTGCAGAGGTGTGCAGCGGTGGTTGGTGAAGTACCTGAAATCCCTCCCATCCCCGAAACCTGAAACAATGCCGGGCTCAAATCCGGAAAAAGTGCGATGCCTCCACCAGGACAAGTGTTGCCTGAGCTTGAGGCGTCCGGCGGGGCCAGGGGTGGTGTGGCTTTGTGCCCCGGGAACTGTTTCGGGGGCGTGGACTGCACACAGATGGTTCTGGTCTGGGGCTTGGATACGGTCTTGTAGTGTTGAAGGCTCAAGGCTTTGTAGTTTAGCGAGGGTGTACAGGTTTGAGGCCCAAGGTCAAGGTGCCGACGCCCCAGTCGCTCGGTCTGTAGCCATTGCTGCTGAGTTCCTGAACACCAACGCTGCAACACCAAAGCTCGGTGTCGGCTAGTGTTTTCGGGCAAGGCTTCACAACTGATGTGCGCATCATACATATCGAAGCTTGCCGTTTTCCAAGCACTCATGCATAACAAGGACGAGGAATCGACCTGACTGAATGCAGCGGCAGTCCTCCCCGAGCCACTTGAACGTTGCCGGCCCGTCCATCCCGATCCCACCCCCACAGCCTTGTGCCCGAGCCCTTTCACTACTGCAAGATTTCACAGCGACCTTGGTGGAAGGACGCCTATGCAGCATCGCACATGTGTTGCACTGGCCCAGTACTGCAGCAGGAACGCATCTCGGGCAGGAGTGCCCACACGCTTGTGCAGTACCACAAGTATGTCCGAAAAGTGCCGGACATAAGACATGGACAAATAAATCCCAAAGAGAGCCCTTCAAGGGACAAAAACACCCCACAGCCGAACCCATCACCTGAGCCCTTCCCCCATCTCACAGCTGCCTGCGCGAAACAGCCATAGTCAGGCGCAGGAATGCAGCTATTCGCCGACCACCACCTGCAAAAACACAGACAGACAGAGACAGAGAGAGAGAGAGAGAGAGAGAGACCTTGAACACTGCGGCTGTGAGTGACATGTTTTGGGTTTGGGAGGGGGGCTTAGTGGCTTGGCCTGCCCCGTAGGTGCCGGTACACTAGCCGGGGGGGTGCGCTGATGGACTGGTACTCCACGTTGGAGAAGAGGGTGTAGATGGCAGGATATGTTAGGCCCAAAGCTCTGAGGCTGCGCCCCAAAATCCTGAATCCTGACCCGGTCAGTCCCGACAGACGCCCTTCAAGACGAGTGCCCAAGCACACCCGGAAGCCTCCCAAAAAAAGGCTTGTGCCTTTGGGTTTCTAGCTTGTCCCCAGTCTTTCCCCTGAACCTACACCCTGGTCCTAATCCTCGACCTCGGCGACAGCATGCATGGTGCGAAACTGGCTGCTGAAGAAAACGCAGAGCAGCGGAGCGTGGACACGAGGCATGTCGTGTCATGTTTGGGGCGTGTAGAGCTTGCCTGCGGGACTAGGCCGCGTGGGCAGTGTTGCCTTGCTGCAGGCCATCTCAGCCCTGAGATTCCCGAACTCCGACAAGGGCCTCCACTGCAGCGTGCAGGCGGTGCACTGCAGGCCGACCGGCACCTTCCTCGGAGGATTGGGGTTGCCAGCAAGGGCCCTTGAACAAAACAGCCTGAAAACAAACCCTGCACAAAACCCAAAATCATCAAACACCCTTTGCTTGCAAACCCAACCCCTGGAAAGCCCCTCGACCCCAGGCGGCCCAGCGTCAGGTAAAAGGTGTGCAAGTCCTGCCCGGAGGGAGAGAAGCCACCTTCCCAAGCGGGCATCTGGAAAGCATGCTGAAGTTTGCGTTTAGGGGGCAGGGGTGCAGGGACTAAGCCGAGTTCGCGAAGCCACGAAAGCCATCATGCACCTGAAATGGGTGACTGGTTGGCACCATTGCAAACACCAGGTACAGTCAGATCCCGAAGTCATAACAATTGCTAATTGCAGTGGGGGAACCATCCCCCCCCAAGGAACTGCGCGTTATGACTTATTTCTTGGAAGTCAAACATTTGGCTTTCCCCCCAATGAGCTGCTGCGATTCAAGCACACAAAACAAGTCCAGACATGTAACTTTTATGCCCAGTCCCCTGTCAAGGATCCTCGGGATTGTCTGAGGATCTCAGCTCTAGGAGGTATCCCCCCCTAAAAATTCCAGGAATTCTAGGAATATGTTTTGGGGGGGGGGGGGGTGTACATTCTTTTGGGGCCCTGCAGATCCAGGAAATATGTGCCCGGTCAAGGAAACAAGAAGTCGTATCATTCAGCGGTCACACTGGGGATTTGCCTGGTCTAACCGGTGACTGAAAACAATGTGCTGGTGCATATGCACCAAGTACCACAAGGCATCTTATATCGGACATGTCTGGGCCAGTCCTATGCGAGCCAGGATTAGAATGGATTAGGCCGGGCACATGTTCCAAAACACGTCACACAATGCTGGTGATATCAGAGCTTGAATACCTGCAATCTCGGCACCTTATACATCACCACTTTTCCCCCTAAGTACACTCCCCCCCCCCAATTATACATCAGTTGCATGGGGATCTTCTCCCCAAGTGATTGCAAGCAACACAGGAAAAAATGTTATGTTTTCGGGGTTCGACTGTACCCATCCGGACCCGTCCGGGGACCTGGTGGAAGGTAGAAGCGCTCAGGGTGCCGCCTGACAGGGCGTAGTTCTGGGGAGCTTGTCGGCTTACGTGGGTTAGCTGAATGCAGTCTTGTTCTCTTCGGCGCTTGACGACGGGGCTTTCCTCGGGCCTCTATATGTATGCTTGTTACCACCATCAGCCCCTCGGAATCACGTTAGAACTCCCTCTTCAACTCGACTCTGAGGAGTTGCCGGGGCACGTGTCCAGCGGCTGGCAGCCCGCCCGTCTGTCGTTCGACCCGCAGTCCGTGAGGCCCGCCTCCTGGGGGTTTAGGGTTCTGGGGTGGCGAGGGATTGGACTTAGAACTTCAGAGCCTTTAGGCCTTTGCGGAGGTCGCGTCTCGAGGTTAGGGGTGCTTGGTGCTTGGTGCAGAATTTCAGTGGAACACGTCACGCGGGATCGGTGGCTGGGTGGACGCATGAGCTGACGAGGTCAAAATATTCTGGTGAGCGCGTATGTGTGGAGAGCCACGCGCGTGTACATGCGTGCGTGCATGCATGTACAAGCATGTAACAGTATGTGTATTGGTGAACCTGTATCTCTCTGCATATACATGGAATTACACATGTGTGCCCTTCTACGGGCAGGCATTTAGTTACATGTATCTGATGCATGTGCATGTTGTTACAAGTCTCTGTGTGTACGCGCTTGTATGCAAATCCAGAATATGCGTGCGCATGCACGTGCGTGCAAACAGACGGCTGGCACTGTAACAGTGGACTGCCGTTGCAAGCCGTTGTAAGTATGGTGCTGCAGGCATGTTCAACTGTGCTGGCATGCATCGACGACACGTGGACTACACTCTTGATCCTGGAGGCTAAGTGCCACAGGCCGTTCTGTGCTACCCTGCCTGCGGGCTGGCACGCTCCAGGATCCACTTGTCCAAGCAGCTCTGTGCATTGGCCAAAGATGATGAAATCTGCTGCTCGCCTCGGCATAGGTAGGAGTTCTGGAGGTTCTGGTTGCAGCTTCAATCAACTGTCGCCTCAGGGCTTCCTTTCCTGGGCGAGTTCCGACTCCGAGAAGTTGGGCACAGCAATTGCTAGTGACCGGGCTTGCGGGGTGTTTCATGCTTGCGCCTGCTGCGAAAACAATATTCCTCAGTTCCGAATCGAACCAAGCCACACACGCTGAACTCGAAATGCCCCTTGTGGTGGGCAGTGATGCGGATGGTGACCTCCACAATCGTTCCTGATGTCCACGTCCTGCCAAACAACTCGTCCCTGCACCGGGTTGTAGGACGAGGCTGGCAGGGAATTCGGGCCATTCAGGCCGTGTGTGTTTTTTTCGTGTTGAGGGTTGCATCCCAAAACCAGTGGGCAGTACATAGCCTGACATGCCAAATCCGCCAACGAACGCTTCTTCCGGTTCTTCCGGGGGCTTGAACCTCACGGGTGGGCCGCCAGCATTCACGTAGTTGCCTGAGTGACTGAATGAGAGAGACAGAGAGAATGAGAGAGAGATAGCGAGAGCGAGAGAGAGACTGAATGAGAGAGAGAAAGAGAAAGAAAAAAGTGAGAAAAAAAACAGAGACCGAGAGAGTGAGAGAGCGCGCGGGGAGCGGAATGTTGTCCCCCTCTACCCTCCAGAGAGGAGGAGGACTTCGAAAAAACGCAATGGCGTGGATCACTCAGAGAGAGAGAGAGAGAGAGAGAGCAACGGTGGAATCCGACATGCGTGGGTTGAATCCGACAGCCTCCTATGGTTGGAAGGGAAAGATGCGGAGAGACGTAGAGAGACGTAGAGAGCGACTTCACGAAAAGATTGCCAGAACCCGAAGAAACGAACCTTCACACCCTTAGCCTGAAACCCGACAGAAGCCAACAGAATGCTTGAGCCACGCGGCTGTCGGAGGGCCATTGGTTGCCATCGCCACAAATGCCGTTGCCATTGCCGCAGTGCGGGCAATAGCCTGAAGTTGCAAAGTGCTTTTGGAACGTGGAGGGGCCTAGGGTTGTGGAAGGGTCTAGTGAGTCTAGTAGGCCAACACTTGGTACACGCAGGACAACCAAACACTTAGCGACTTAGCGATTTTTGCGGGCAGAGATGTCAAGAACACACAGCGTCCCAAACAACACAAATAAGTCCGAAACAGTTTCTCTGCCCTGAGCCCTCAAGCCCTGGAGCCTTGAGGCTTCGGTTTGACAGTACTTGGCACTCTGGGCGGCCCCCGAAACCCAAAGCCCAACCCGACATTGGCATCGGGCGGCCGTTCTTCGGCCCGGAGTCGACGTTGCGGGCGGCTGGCTCGACCATGAAGCCATGCCCTGGCGTGCTGAAACTCCCAGGGGCCTTCGGGGTTTTTCCGATGGCAAGACTTGTTGAGTCTCGGAAGTTTAAGGCTTCAGGTGCGAGCTTTGTATCGATGGCTTTCACGAAGAAACAGGACCCCACAACACTAGCACCCAAACCGAAGCACCCCTAAACCAGCCCCCAAACCGTGCCAACCAGCAACAACAGCAAACCGGCACGGAGCGCCCCAGGCGCCATGGATCGAGGATGCGGCAAGGACCAGCAGGGCCTGGCCATCATGTTCCGCGGGTTTGGGGTCTGTGGGGCGCTGCAGTGTCAGAGTCGTCCCGCTTGGGGTGACTTCAGTTTCTGAGCGAAGTGCTCGGCTACTGGCAACCCAAACCCCAAAAACACCCACAACCACCCAAACTCAGAGCCCACAAGACTGAGCGCCGGCGCTCGAGTGTAGGATCCCATGGCTTCTGAAGCACGGCAGACAGGGCGCTTCTCCCCCGAAAAAACGCGGACACGGCTGAGGGATGCAAAAGAGAGCCTTGATGACGGGCCATGTTATGGGACCATGAGGATAGACACACGTGAGTCTTTGCAAACGGTTCTCCGGCTTTCAGTGTGGAAGCCCGCATCTCCACCCAAGAGTTCTACCAGGCCCCAGCGAGAGAAGAGAACTGCACACACACACACACACACAGAGAGAGACACAGAGACAAAGGCCTCTCGACCTCTCGGTGAAAACGGGCTGGTCCCCCGTGAATATGGTAATTTTTCAAGGGGAGGGCAAGATGCTCATGATCTTTGTGAAGGATCACCCGAACAAGAAGCACCAAGAAGGCAAAGCAAAGACACAGGATCAGTCTGTTTTCAGGCATGCAGGAAATCATACCTCAGGATGTGCTGCCGTGTGAAGTTGTTGCAACTGGCTAACCATCGCTCCTAAACACAATCGCTTGTAAGTCTCGGGCTTTGGGCTCATGCTTATATGAACTACCGAACCCGCAAGGCTCCATCTCACTTCGCGCCGCTCTTCGACAGCAGGTCGACGACATCCTGAAGGCTTTTGGAGGCTCAGGCCGCGAGCTTGGGGAGCTTGGGGAGCTTGGGGAGCTTGGGGAGCTTGGGGAGCTTGGGGGGCTTGGACGAAGCTTTGGAGCCCCTTGCTGACTCTCGTTGACTCTCCTTCATCTTGTTCTTCTGTGCCAAGGCGAGGGGCGTCTGGCCTCAGTATGCTGCCGGGCCAGGGCCAGGGGACGAGGGAAGCACAGCACTCATGTTCTCGAGCTGTGTCCTGCAGATTTGAGAGGGAACCCCCCACGTCAACATAGCCTCTCCCCGAAGCCTAAAGCCATCGGGCGCGGTCCTCATCCAGAAGAAGACCGCGACAAACCTTCCTCTCGGGTCCGGGCCCTGGGTGTTCTGCTTGTTGACGTCCAGCTTGCCATTGATGAAGTACCTGCACTGCTTTCTTCTGCTTGCCTCGGGTGACTCTCGATTGATACTTCAACCCTGGCCGCCGCATTGGCAGGGAATCCACGACATCCATGAGAGGATCCCTGGAAGAGAATCCCGCAAAGTGTCAACAGCACCCACCCCCAGAAGGATATCACGGAACTGTATACAGAGTATCGGCGCTGCTTACTTTTGCGGTGGGGGAGTTCGAAGGAACTATTTCTCAGCGAGAAAGCGCAAACAGTCCTTAAGCACAAGCCCGATCAGCAAGGGTCCCCCTTCAACTTCCAACACCTACAACCTGCACGTGAACCTCAGCCATGGGCCTTTGCCCTTCAATCACACAGAAGGCACAAGGTCGGCAAGTCGGCAACCTCAACTCCCAGGTCACTGCAGGAGCTCCTTCCTACCGTAGGCGGCCGCCTCAGCGAACGCTTGGCTGGCGCATGGTCTTTGGACTTTGGCTTTCGTTGGCCTGCCTTCCTAGATATTCTTTGGCGCTTCCATTCGCTTCCGTGCGGATTTGCAAGGGACTTGCAGAAACACTCGCTCAGAGAAGGCACTGGAGAAAATTTTGGGTTGGAGAGGCTTTGCCAAACCTCTAAGGACTGTAAAACTACCCCTCTCAAAACACCTCCACACAACAAAGACACCAAAACTTGCCTGAAACAACGTCCATACCCGCCCAGGCACATAGTGAATGGCATTACCACCACTGTTGTCAACCTCCGCAGGATTGGCCTGTGTCGGTTCAGGCTCGAGGTGCTTCGGGCAGGCCTCTTCGGGAGATGCCCAGTCATGCCAACCTCTGGGCGGGATAAAGCCTACCAGCGTGCGCTGCTACCCGAATAAGGAGGCCTCTCAATTGCATGATCATCGATTGCAATTGCACGATTTGATCAACGATTGCTTTCTCCTTGAGTGGGCTCCCAAAGCTGGTCAGCTTCCTGCTCGGGATCCGAATCCCAGGTCACAAGAATCAGGATAGAGTACGTGCAACACTCCAAGGTCTCCACGACAGCTCAGAAAACCTGATTGCAAGGCGGTGAAAGATGCGAATCTTGGTTCTCCCGATGCCTTGCTCTCTAAGAGCTTCTTCACCACTTGGGTGCGGTTGGCCCCGATGGCGTAGGCGAGGCAGCTGATCCCTTTGTGAAGCGCATCAAGTGGAAGGTTGACGAGCGCAGAGAAATGCGTGCTTTGTGTCTGTTCAAACAGTCCAGGCCCAGTGGATTTGGGGATGGGAGATGAAGATTGTGGTTTGTAGCGTTAAAGTTGAAGTGTGAACCTGAGGATCCAGGACCTGGGCGATGGGGAAGGCCATATCTAAGCTAACTGCGTCTACAAGTAGTTCGAATGGTCGCCCTTCATGTTCCCAACTCCACTCAGAAAGCGGGGACCTCACGTCCAGCCCAACTCTGGTTATTCCGCATGCAGGCAAGGGTGCCTTTGGCATCCTTCTCATCGATGTTCCGTTTCTCCTGGATCTCAACATGGCCGGAGGGCTGAGCAAGCACAGGCTTCACAGAGTCAGAGCCTCCGCGATAGAAGCTTTGGAATTCTCAGCCCTTAGGATTTTGAGCTTCGTGTCTGATGTTGGGGTGCTAAGCAGCAACTGGCCAAGACCACCAAGGAAGGCCTGCCACGGTTCCAAAGGCATGTGCCGAAACGATGGCGGCAAACCCATCAGCCCCCAGGACCCCATGGGCTCGGCCCTCGGCATTTGGATTCTGGAGGTTGGACCCGTAAACCCTAACGTGGCGCCTGGTCACCGGCTGTCGCTTCCAGGTAGTCCTGCCATCCAGGTACAAAAACTTCCCAGATTCTAGAACCCAGAGGTCTATGCCATCAAAAAAGGTTCTTAAAGCCCAAGCCTTTACTTGTCTAACTATGAATCTAACCATCTAAATCAAAGAACAGCGTCACCAAGCTCCCAAGGACGACAACGCCGCTACTCCCATCCTTCACAGATTCACAGATTCACAGATTCACAGAGGAATGATGAGGAACGTCTCTGTCCCCAGCCTACTCTACTCCCCGATTTTTCTGCGAGGGCCAATTGCCGTCACTTCCTCGAGGGTCTTCATGTCGCCGCGGAGGCAGGCCTCCTGGAGGGTGATCGGCTTGCTCTGGATGTCCTGGCGTTTGGCTGTTGAGGCCTGTTGAGGCCTGTTGAGGCCTGTTGAGGCCTGTTGAGGGCTGTTGAGGGCTGCTGAGGGTGTGGGGATGTGCGGGGTATCTCCACCCGATTGCGGACCCGATGCATGCAGAATCTTCCTCAGTCAAAAAGAGGACGAAGCGAAACTGCGGAGACTCGTCCTGAATCACTGTCTTCACTTCGTCCGGCACACCTCCCATGGCTCTGCCTGAGGAAGGCTCGAATGCCATGGCGAAGGAAGCAAGGTGAGGGATTTAGGCCCCTTTTGCTTGACTACGAACCCGAACTTCTGCCTCGCCTGAGCCCGAAGTCCCCTAAAACCACACAATATGCTCCGATATGCTCCTGTACTTCAGTCCAGCAGCTGATCTTGAGCATGAGCGGTTCGTTGTGGTAGTGCTGCATGGCGGCCTGGTTACCCCCGCGCTTGATGTCCTGGCGGTTAAGGGTTGAAGAAGTGGCAGTTTAGGTGCTGAAGGGATTCAAGTCGAACCTTCCGGGACTTCCCTGAGCTTTGAACCCCCGCCAACCCCAAGCTGCCTTTCTAGGCCAGGCCTTCTTCCCAGGGCTTCAGGCATCGATCAAACAGCTTAGCAAAACAGCCCCCGCGCGGCTAGAACCTGGGCATTGCGACAGCGCACATCCTTCCGCTGCTTGAACCGTGAGCAGAACTCGCCCCCGCAAAGCCCTTAAACCCTGCACCCCCAAAGAAGCGAAAGCTCCCAAACCCCAAAGCCATGCTGTCTTCGAAGATGGCTGCGAGCTCTGGGTTCTTTTCCAGGGCATTGAACTTGTTGGTTACCACCTCCGCGACTAAGCTGGCAGCCCTCTTGCTTCTGTTCTTTCGCAGGGGTGCGGAGGTTGAGGGGGAATCGGTCTTTGTGGATTTAGCTCGGGGCTTACGACCTGCAAACTCTGCAAACTTCTTGAGACGAGGCTGCAGGGCTCCATCCTCAGACCTCTGAAGTCCAATGGCCCTGGGATTTTCTGGATTCTCCATTCTAATTGTCTTACTTCGTTTGTTTACTTGAATTGTAGGGAAGATATGAATGACCCATGAACTCCTCTGAAAAGAATGAAGATCATGAAACTAAGGAGCATAATAGACAGACAGACAGACAGACACACACACACACACACACACACACACACACCCACGCACGCACGCACGCACGCACGCATGCACGCACGCCCGCGCGCGCGCGCGCGTGAATGTCGGTTGTCAGCCGGAACTTCTTCTCTTCTTTACTCGAAGATTTCTGCTTTGAAGCTCTAGATGGTTAGAAACAACTGCCCTGCACAGCGGCCTAAACATCACAAACCGATTTGGAGATTCGAACATTGCAGGTACATGTTTGACAGTCCTCAACCACTTCCCTTCCAGTGACCTAGCTTCGTCGGATAAGGTCAGTCACTTGGAGCCTGATTGTCCTGCTTTAAAATATGACTTCCCTCTGACGAATAGGATAGAGGTGACTGGTCTCGCAGTCCTACTCCCTTAGATACACCCACCCACCCACGCACGCACGCACCCGCAAAAAATCTAAAAAGACTTACAATATTGGGTTTTTGAACGTAAAGAACTGACATTCTGGGAAAACCCAAATTTCCATCGAATTTGCGGTGCGCATTCTTTGCCCGCATCTTTAAGATGAAACTGTACGAGATGCTGGTAATCGTAAAACCTGTGAACAAAGTGAACCATAAACCCCCCAACAGTTCAAAAAGTATTGGTAGGGTTTCATAGTAATTGGGTCTTTTTTCTCTTCTGCTTAACCCACGCCCAGTACAACAAGAAATGCTTGGGCGCGACTTTCTATTTATATATACTCATGGGCCACTGAAAAGAACTGTATCTTCATGTACCACGCCCAGATTCCTCAGCCCAACGGACCTGAGTGTGCACATGCACCCTAAACATCCCTAAACATCCCTAAACATCCCTAAACATCCCTCAAGCTGAAGTTGGCAGGGTCTGGGGCAAGCTTGCAACACACTCAGGATGTGGAAGAGAGAGCTGATCTTGCCAATGTTGCATGTTGCGCCTACTCGGTTTTCAGATTATGAGGTGACTTGGAGGCAGCTTGCCATCCTGGTCTCACTGCAGGGCAGAGCTGAAATCATGCCGAAAAATCCTGACGACATTCCGAGCAGCCGCAGGGATGCATATGGGGTTGAAATGATCCCTGGACGATAATTGCAGCAGTAGCTGGAACAAATCATTGCACGTATTGGAAAGCGAATAATCGCAGACGCCGGAAGGTCTGTTCACGAAACTCAGCCTCATCGCCGTTGCTGAGGCGTGTGTTGTAGTACTCGGTAATAGCCTGAGACAGTGCGCCCCGCAGATTCGCATCAACCCCACTTCCTACATCCCAGCTTTCACAACACAAATTTGACGTGGATTTTGACGATGGTCTGATACTTCTGAATCCACCCCGCCTGCGTCTGCATCCACGCACGCACGGCCTTAGCGTCCCGCGAGAAGGTCTCCATCCTCCGCATGGGGAGCTGTCAGAGAAAGAGCCGTCAGCCTTTTGGGCCATTTTGGGCCCTCACCGGGCCTTTAGGGTTCAGGCAACGGGTTGGGAATTCGGACCATCAGAGGGCTTGGACTTAAAAATCTCGTTCCGCAGAGTCTTGAAACACGCTCTTAGGGTTCAATTCAGAGTTTGGGATTTAAGACATATCAGCCTTCTTGTACCCCTTTTCACACCTTTAACTATAGACTAAAGCCCTTGGCTCTAAGCGAAGATTTCTCTTTGTGACCACATATCAGCAAAGGACATCATTCAAAAACCGTTCAAAACCCTTCTCCACTGCCCTGAGACTGCAGTCCCCCTGAAAGATCCTGAATGTCGAAAAACACCCTCAAACCCCAAAGAACAAGTGCGAACCCACGTGCCTTCGGGCTTCCTCGGGGTTCGCCTCGAGATACTTCTTGGTGTCTTGCCACTCCTTCGGCACAAAATGTGGGTGCCGGGAAAACCAGGCACGTGGCGAGGCAGTCGTCTCACAAGGCAGATGCAGCTGCATTGCACACCTCTCCTACGAGGGCAGCCTGAATTTGAGAAATGTGGACTTCGGAAGCCGCGCCCCAGAAGCTACATCCAAAGCTTGACCAAACGGAGTTAAGGACGTCAGGTGTAGAAGCGGTCCTTATCGCCCATGCCTGGTGTTCTCGCAATGCGGATGCTGGTGCCATCGCTCAGATTCAAAAGCTCCTGAGAGCAAACTCCAGTGTGAAGGTACCTTCATGATGATGTGAAAGCATCGTAATGATCCTCAAAACACCCTGCGACTTGAAGCCTGACCCCCCAAACCGTACGACTGTACGACACCCAACACTCTGAACCCTAAAAACCTGACCGCAAGCAGCGCAGATTGACGCGTCCTTCTCGAGGCGGAGGTGCGCCATCTCTGGGCAAGTGGGCGGGTGCCGGTGGGCTGGAAGAAAAAGAGCACAACGCGGCTGAGGCGACACATCGTGAGGTCGTCGAGCTTGAGGGTTGAAAAGGGTTTACGGCATGTTCAGAGTGCACGCGCTGGCTCTGAATGGCTGGTCGTGGCCAACTCCAAGCAGCCGCCTCTGCCTTTCCCCATGTTTTCCCATGCGCGCTTGAGACTACTCCTCGGTCTTTGCAGGCGTGAGCTGCGAAGCCATGATCCTCCTACGTAGAAGGTCGCCGCGGTGGGAGGGTGTCGGCATTTGGGGGCTTCAGGGCTTGAGGGGTTTCATGATAAAGGTCTTCTAGGAATTTCGCCTTGAGGGCGCAAGCGCCAGGAGGCACAATCTCGGGCACAAAACTTGCTGGCATCAATTGCTCTGCTCGGCTCTGCTCCCCAACCGCACATCCAATAGTATGACATCCTTGGCAGCCGAGCAGCCCCCGAGCAGATCAATGCAGCCCTATGTTCCCGAACTCAAAGGGTCTAGTACGTCTACCTGCCAGAGCACACATGTAGCTGGAGCCTAGGTCCCTCTTTCGATGGAAATTCTAGCGTAAGCCCCCGAATATGGACCTCGTCACAAGCCCTTAAACCCCTGTCGTTCGGCTCAGCCGGATCATCACCAGGAGGCTGTCAAAGCCCGCACTTGCAGAGTTGGGCACCCTTGAGTTTTTTCAAGTCCTGCGCGGTGAGGGTTTTCGAGGCCCATGAGGGTCAAGGACATCAGCAAGCGCTCCAAGGTTTTTGATGGGGGGGGTTACGAACGTCACTCATAGTGCGTCCATGCCCGAAACACTGGTATTTACAGCGATTTCGCCTCTTTGTACAACATCCTGCACAAGGACGTGGAACAAGGAAATCGTTGACAAGCGACCATGCCTTTCGCGACCATGCCCAGAACACTGGTATGCACAGCGTTTTATACCCAAAACACTGGCATTTACAGCGTTTTCGCCTCTTTATACCCCATTTAACCTCGAAAACTGTAGCCTCAAACACATATGAAACCTCAACCCTGTAAGCTAAGCCCTCAACATACGACCCATGACCCGGGAAACAAATCCCAAAAAAAAACCCAAAACTACATTGACAGTGATTTCAAAACTACTATGTAGTATGAAAGCCTGGCCCCCATACTAGACGTAGCTTTTTTGAAGTGCTTAAACCCCATTTCTGCCGATGTTTTCTGCATGTCCTGACTTGTGTATAAGCCTTCCGTACCACGCGCCACAACGCGCCGTGCACCAAGTAGTTGCTAGCAGATATTAAGTAGGGATATCAGTTGTTCTGAAGTAGGAGGACCCCAATCTTCAAACCTGCTTGACCCGCCGAAACTGAAACCCCTGGATTTCAGACCCTAACCGCGGCGGGCCTCCTACTTCTTCAACATGAGGTCATTGACCTCCTTCGCGTCTAGGTCGCCACTGTCGTTGGCTTGAACTTCCTTCCTGGGTCTTAGGAGGGTTTAGGGCAGGAAGGGGGTGGGCTGAGGTTGAGTCCAGAGCAGGTTTACTCAAGAAGTTTGGGGGGTTCGGGCCGGGGTCAAGTTGAGAATGGTTGAGACTTGAGGGTGCAGGGACTGCCGGGTTACTGGTTCAGATGCAGGATCGCACAGGCACCGGGAGGTTCATCGCAGGAGGCCCCAGCCCTGACCAAACAAAAGTCCGCTCCGCGGGCTCTCAAAACGGCGGCGCGTTGACATCCAAATGCCGCCTCCGGACCCTCAAAACATCTCAAAACATCTCGCAACAACTCAAAACAACTCGAGTCATCTCAAGACAACTCAACACATCTCAAGACATCTCAAAACATTCACCCTTCGCCCTTCGCCCCCCAAGGCGCATGATGCCCGGGAACTTCTTCTTGAGGGCGTCCTTGGAGCTGGCGTAGACCATGCGGTCCTTGACCGTGGTCCTGAGGCTTTCAGGGCTTAGGGTCTGGGAATGTCTGGGAGGTTGGTTCACACGTCTTGCTGCTTTCGCTGCTTCCGCTGCTTTCGTGGCTTTCGTGGCTTTCGCTGCTTTCGCTGCTTTGACCCGTGCGGCCAAGGCTCTTGTCGTCCGGTGACCAAAAGAAGAAGCAAAGCTTGGACTGCGGTCGCCCATCATCGGAGGTGTAGTCGTAATCCACCAGCGCGTACCTACAAAACAGACCCAGCGAGCCCTCAACCCGTCAGTTGAGCCATATGTGAACCAGTGACCAAGTAATACCACGTGTGCCTTCGATTGTTTGTTGAAAAGGTTGCTGTCTGCTCGAGATGCCAGCCCGTTCCCCGAACAAGAAGGAGGAGAAAGGAAGCGACTTTCACGCAAGTTCAGACTATTGTGCGCCCCCGAGCACAGACGCCCTAAGCTACCTTGGCTGGTCGTCCGGCAGCTTGGCCACAAAGTCCTCAGCAAGGCCAGTAACTGAATCCAATAGGCTTCCCCGGCTTCTCTAGGTTTCTCGTCATCGAAGATGGGCGTCCACTTTCCGGCTGAGAGTTGCTGGCTTCAACAGGTTTGAGATCGAGGGTTCCAACTGTAAACTTGTAAACCTCGCTTTCGGGCTCTGGCATGGAGCAACTTATGCATCCGAGAGCGTGTCTAGTCTCTTGATAGTCAGAAACCACAAAAACATTGAACCCGTGAGCCTCGTGAGCCCCGACATCCTTCCCTCCAACCCCTCCTTGTAGGTCTCGCCAGCCGGGCCGCTGCACTCTACTTTGATTTCCTGTTCGGCAGGGGCCCCCACAGCATGGCCCACCTCAAGCCACCTGCCTTGGAGCATAAGACGCCGAAACCCGACTGCAAAGCAAATCTGCCTACAGTCTGGTGCCCCCCCGCCCGCCGGCCATCCCAAAGCGCCCTACAACCATAAACCTCAGTCAAGTGGAGCAGCATTGGAATCTTGTGGACACTTCAGACACTTCAGAGGCTTCAGAGGCTTCAGAGGCTTCAGGAGCTTCAGGGGCTTCAGGGGCTTCAGGGGCTTCAGGGGCTTCAGGGGCTTCAGGGGCCTCAATGTCACTTTGAAAAAACCGCGACCCTTTGGTTGCAGCCGAACCCTAAACCATTCTAAACACTAAACAGCATCCTGAAGCCCTGGCAACCGATTGTTTAGCCTTGTGGTTCTCAATCTTGAAGATGACGTAGCGCAAGTCCTGGCGCAAGGTGGAGCCCCCTTTCGGGTCTGTGCTCCAGGGTTGCTTTCACAGGCGATGTGTCCTCGGTGTGTGTCCGTGTGTCTCTGCATACGTAGGAATGAATATATATATATATATATATATATATACATATATATACATGTATATATATATATGCTTTTTGTATGTGTATGTGTATACGTATATATGCATATATGCATATATGTCTGCTACCCCCCCCCCCCCCCCCACCCGGGTTGTCCACGCTTCTTTGTGCTTATCCACGCTTGTTGTTCTAGATCGTTTCACGGACCGCGGTGACTCCTGAACCCCCCCCCCCCAGCATGAGACCAGCAACAAAATAACACCCGCACGAAACAAACGACCCAACCCCCTACATAACATGTACAGCTTGAGATGTTGAGTCCTCTCCATCTATCCAAACACTGGGCACAGCGACCTCCTCCCCTCCCCTCCCTTCCGCTCCGCAGCGCTCCCTGGTTTTTGTACATGCATTTTTTTGTCAGGGCTTATCTCTAAAACCCAATCAGTTAAGGGTTTAGGGCTGATTAAAGGGGGCCCCGCAGCCCGATAGGGTTTAAGGCTTGAAGCCTATAGGGTCTAGGCAGGGTTAAACCCGAAACCTAAACCTTCAAACCCATAGGGTTTTCAAGGCTAAGAAATTACACCTAAACCCTACAGGGAAGGGTTAAGGTTGAAAGATTTAAGACTTAGGCATTTAAACCTAAGCCCATAGATTTTAAACCTCAAGGGTCTACGGCTTCGGCATTAAAACAAACCTAAACCCTAAGCCCTTTAGGGTCAGAACACTGAAAGCCTATAAGGCGCTGAAGGTATACATGCCCAGACCTTAGGTTATTTAAGCCTTTCAACCCCATAAGCTTAGGGTTTCAAGCTTTATCTCTAAAACCCTCACGGGGTTAGCCCTGTAGGGTTTGCACCCTGTAGGCCTGTAGGGTTCAAAGGTTTAGGGTTTAAGGTTTATGCACTACCTGTCACATTAGAACCTTCTAATTTATAGGGCTTGAGGCTTAAATCCCTAAACTCCACAGGATTATGCCTCGGTTTATAGGGCTTGCCTCCTGTGGAAATGCAGCGAAAAAACAGAATAAGTACCCACATCATGTAAAGGGCTTAAAGGTTTAGGGTTTTCAAGGTATATAAGCCAATAGAGTTTAAACCTTACGGGTTTTCGGTTTAGGCATTTAAACCTAAACCCTAAGCCCTGTAGAGTCACAACCCTGAAAGCCTATAGGGCTCTAAAAGGCTCAAGAGTTTTAACCCTATAGGAACTGAAGGTATACGTGCCCAGACCTTAGGTGTTTAGACCTTTAAACCCCATAAAGTTTAAAGGTTTAGGGTTGTTTCAAGGTTTATCTCCAAAACCCTCACAGGGTTAGCCCTATAGGGTTTACACCCTATAGGCCTGTAGGGTTCAAAGGTTTAGGGTTTCATGTTTAGGCATTACCTATAGGATTCGAACCTTATAACCCTATAGGGCTTGAGGCTTCATCCCTCAACCTTAAATCGCATGGGGTTATGCCTCTGTTTATACGGCTTGCCTTCTGTGGAAATGCACAGAAAAAAGCAGAGTAAGTAACCACATCATGTATAGGGTTGAAAGGCTTAGGGTTTTCAAGGTTCATCTCTCACGGGGTCAGCCCTTTCTGGTTTAAACCCTTTTGGCCCATAGGGTTCAACGGTTTATGGTTTAAGGTTTAGGCATTACCTATAGGATAAGAACCTCATAACTCTATGTACGACTGACCTTTATGTATTATTTGATGGTTCTGCTTCCCCCTTTCAATTTTTCCAGGATTTTAAGGAATCTAAAAGGCCCCTTCAATTCTTTCAATCACAACCAGGAGAGGTTGCAAACAAGGAAAACACAAAATCAGCAGAAAACGTGGAGAACTGGGGGGGGGGGGGGGGGCGGGGGTACCATATATGTAGATATGTATATATGTATCTATGTATATATATATATATATGTATATATGATGTATTTCACGTATTCTTCTTCTTGTGAACATTAAGTGAAGAAATCAAGAAATTGAATAACTAATGAGTGTTTTTCAATTTCTTCTATTTCTGAGGCTCTCTTGTAGAAATGCAAGCAATTTCTAAAACTAATCATTTCTCTAATGGCTTTAATTTTTAGGCTTCTCTTGGACATCTGAAAGCAATTAGCGAAAGTAATGAATTTCGTTAATTACTGTAATTCTTTTGTTTCTGAAAGTTAGTTCCGTGGGCTGGATGGGCTTTCGCAATTAATTTCTTTGATTTCTGTCACTTACGGGACTAGTCGAAAAAATCCAAAAACAAGAGAAACAAAGAAACTACAGAAACTAAAGAAATTGATTAATTTCTGAATTTCTTGAATTTCTGAGTCTCTCTGATTAAAAGAAATTAAGGAAATTAATCGATTTCTGTAATTCCTTGAATTTCTCAGCCTTTTTGGGTGACAAAAGAAACAAATTGATTTCTTTAGTTTCTTTCACTTCTTTTTTTCTTTTTACTATTTCAATCAGTCCTGTAGGCCGGACCGGCGGCCACAACTAGTTTCTTTAATTTCTTTTAGTTTTTGGGCCTCTCTGGGAGAAACAAAACAAATTCAAGAAATCAATTCCGGGATCCGCTTACGGGACCAATTTAAATGAATACAGTAAATGACAGAAATTATCGAAATTAAAGAAATTAATGAATTTGCTTAATTCGTCAGCCTCTCTGGGATAATAAAAAATTATTTAGTTTCTCAGCCTCTTTCGGGTAAATAAAAGAAAGTAGAAAAATTTGTCTTTAGTCTTTAATTCACTAACTTCTGTAATTTCCTTAATTGCTTTCTTGTGTTTCTTGTATTTCATCAAATTAGTCCTGGATCGGCTGCCACAACTAGTTTCTTTAGTTGCTGTAATTGCTGGGCCTCTCTGGGAGAAAAAGAAATTAAAGAAAATCATTCCGGGAGCCGGCTTACGGGACTAACTGAAATATAAAAAAGAAGTGAGAACATTAAAGAAATTAAAGATATCATGATTAACATCTTTAATTTCCTGAATTTCTCGGTCAGAGCTTTGCACACTCCAGGTTGTTGGAAGGTCTTCTGGAGTTCAGTGCTCACGGCTGCGCTCAAGCAGAGCCCCAGATGTCGTAGCAGCACTCCTTCTTCATCTTGATCTGGTTGTACCTTTCTTGTTCTTGGCACCCTAGTCCAAAACCAGAAAGGGCGCTCACACCGCAAATCACTGGGCATGTGCAACGATATGCGTAAAAAAACACAGCGGTTCTCGATGAAGCCCAAGTTGCAGATCGACACACTCATCATTGACCGCCACTCCGGACATGGCGTCGGTGGAACACGGGGAGGCGCTGGCAAATGCTAAAGCGGCGAGCCCCCAAGCTGCAGACAAGGCGACACCTTGAACTCAAGATCACAAGCTACATGATGCTACATGCCACTGAGCCAATGGCCCCCAGCACTACCCCCATGCCTATGCCTGTGGTCAGGCTCTTACGAAGCCAGGCTTTCAAAGCAGAATAAGGTTTGGGGTTCAAGGCTCAAGGCTCTTTGAGGGCTGCCAAGTGCACCGGCACATGCTGCACGCTTCCCAAGAAGCTCTTCAAGCCGAGCAGCACACATGCATGACTCTTGGCCCACGAGTATGCATTGAGGTGAGGGGACGCTCATGGTCAGTAACCCCACAACTCAGCCATCCTCGACCAGCCCCTGTTGGCCACAAGTCTCCAAGCCTTGAGCCTGTGCCTCCCCGAAGCGAACGAAGTTTCCCTGAGCCTTGGTCCTGGCACAAACAGCCAAACCGCACTTTGTCACCGTCACCGCCCTCTGTGCGGGGCAGAGTTGGGAACTTGCAAAGGGCTCTGTGATGGCTCACGGGCCCGTCTCTGCTCAATTCTCCCGGAACTCCTGCAAACTGCTATGGAAGCGCTGCCAAAGTCGAAGGAACCACCCGCTAGACAATGGCTCAGAGAGGCTTGCAAAGAAGATCACATCGCCATGTCCTACCATAAAGTGGAAATTCCTGTCGGACGGGTGAAAGGGAACTACGGTGTACTGAAAGCGTTCTACCGGTCCCGTGGTCGTCATCGCAGAATTCACAGAGGGCATCGAATTGGCACCAGGCAGCGGGTACATGGGAGGGGTTCAGAGTGTAAACGCTCCTGATCCTCCTAAAAGGTCGCCGCGGAGGATGTCGGCATTTGGGGGCTTCAGGGTTTGAGGGGTTTCATGATAAAGGTCTTCTAGGAATTTCGCCTTGAGGGCGCAAGCGCCAGGAGGCACAATCTCGGGCACAAAACTTGCTGGCATCAATTGCTCTGCTCGGCTCTGCTCCCCAACCGCACATCCAATAGTATGACATCCTTGGCAGCCGAGCAGCCCCCGAGCAGATCAATGCAGCCCTATGTTCCCGAACTCAAAGGGTCTAGTACGTCTACCTGCCAGAGCACATATGTAGCTGGAGCCTAGGTCCCTCTTTCGATGGAAATTCTAGCGTAAGCCCCCGAATATGGACCTCGTCACAAGCCCTTAAACCCCTGTCGTTCGGCTCAGCCGGATCATCACCAGGAGGCTGTCAAAGCCCGCACTTGCAGAGTTGGGCACCCTTGAGTTTTTTCAAGTCCTGCGCGGTGAGGGTTTTCGAGGCCCATGAGGGTCAAGGACATCAGCAAGCGCTCCAAGGTTTTTGATGGCTTTGGGTTCGAGATTCCGAACTCTGACCTCAACCCTCAAACGCTACTTGGAGGATCGTGGGACAAAGCGAGTTGTTTTCCAAAGTGCTTGAAATCCACCCCTGCCGATGTTGTCTGCATGTCCTGACTTGTGTACATGCCTTCCACACCACGCGCGGGCTACGCGCCGCGCACCAAGTAGCTGCTAGTAGATAACTTGGGGGTGAGGACCTGGGACGAAAGCTAGTTAAGGTACCCCCACGGAAGAGCCTCTGTCAACAGGGCATCCACTACGCATCAGGACAAGCATACGCAAAGGCATGAGGCCGTCACCTTTTTCCCGCGCGCTAAGGAGTCCAGAGGAACCGGAAGGGAGGGCTCTTTTTTGAAGCGCATGACACCACAACAGATGTTGCACTCACCAGGCGAAGTCTGAAGTCTGTCCAATCCAGCTTTGAGGGACGCCAGACTCAAATCAACATCAAGGCTTCTGAGTCTTTTCTTGGGGGACTTGGGGGGCTTTTCTAGGGCCTGGGATCCACAGAAAACGGCGTTCATTTGCACCCAATATACGACAGAAATGAACGCCAGCCCGTTTCCCCAAAACCTGTGTTTGCCCACCGGAAACCGACCGAGTTTGCTGCGTTTCGTGGCGGAGCCTCCGGGACCCCTGTATACCCATCAGGTTGAAGCGTCGCTCAAGCAAGATACTCCGCTAGCTCCTCAGGGGCTAGCTTTCGTGATAAGTAGGGATATGAAATGTTCTGAAGTAGGAGGACCCCAATTTGGGTCCCTTCAAACCTGCTTGACCCGCCGAAACTGAAACCCCTGGATTTCAGACCCTAACCGCGGCGGGCCTCCTACTTCTTCAACATGAGGTCATTGACCTCCTTCGCGTCTAGGTCGCCACTGTCGTTGGCTTGAACTTCCTTCCTGGGTCTTAGGAGGGTTTAGGGCAGGAAGGGGGTGGGCTGAGGTTGAGTCCAGAGCAGGTTTACTCAAGAAGTTTGGGGGGTTCGGGCCGGGGTCAAGTTGAGAATGGTTGAGACTTGAGGGTGCAGGGACTGCCGGGTTACTGGTTCAGATGCAGGATCGCACAGGCACCGGGAGGTTCATCGCAGGAGGCCCCAGCCCTGACCAAACAAAAGTCCGCTCCGCGGGCTCTCAAAACGGCGGCGCGTTGACATCCAAATGCCGCCTCCGGACCCTCAAAACATCTCAAAACATCTCGCAACAACTCAAAACAACTCGAGTCATCTCAAGACAACTCAACACATCTCAAGACATCTCAAAACATTCACCCTTCGCCCTTCGCCCCCCAAGGCGCATGATGCCCGGGAACTTCTTCTTGAGGGCGTCCTTGGAGCTGGCGTAGACCATGCGGTCCTTGACCGTGGTCCTGAGGCTTTCAGGGCTTAGGGTCTGGGAATGTCTGGGAGGTTGGTTCACACGTCTTGCTGCTTTCGCTGCTTCCGCTGCTTTCGTGGCTTTCGTGGCTTTCGCTTCTTTCGCTGCTTTGACCCGTGCGGCCAAGGCTCTTGTCGTCCGGTGACCAAAAGAAGAAGCAAAGCTTGGACTGCGGTCGCCCATCATCGGAGGTGTAGTCGTAATCCACCAGCGCGTACCTACAAAACAGACCCAGCGAGCCCTCAACCCGTCAGTTGAGGCATATGTGAACCAGTGACCAAGTAATACCAAGTGTGCCTTCGATTGTTTGTTGAAAAGGTTGCTGTCTGCTCGAGATGCCAGCCCGTTCCCCGAACAAGAAGGAGGAGAAAGGAAGCGACTTTCACGCAAGTTCAGACTATTGTGCGCCCCCGAGCACAGACGCCCTAGGCTACCTTGGTTGGTCGTCCGGCAGCTTGGCCACAAAGTCCTCAGCAAGGCCAGTAACTGAATCCAATAGGCTTCCCCGGCTTCTCTAGGTTTCTCGTCATCGAAGATGGGCGTCCACTTTCCGGCTGAGAGTTGCTGGCTTCAACAGGTTTGAGATCGAGGGTTCCAACTGTAAACTTGTAAACCTCGCTTTCGGGCTCTGGCATGGAGCAACTTATGCATCCGAGAGCGTGTCTAGTCTCTTGATAGTCAGAAACCACAAAAACATTGAACCCTTGAGCCTCGTGAGCCCCGACATCCTTCCCTCCAACCCCTCCTTGTAGGTCTCGCCAGCCGGGCCGCTGCACTCTACTTTGATTTCCTGTTCGGCAGGGGCCCCCACAGCATGGCCCACCTCAAGCCACCTGCCTTGGAGCGAAACCCGACTGCAAAGCGAATCTGCCTACAGTCTGGTGCCCCCCCGCCCGCCGGCCATCCCAAAGCGCCCTACAACCATAAACCTCAGTCAAGTGGAGCAGCATTGGAATCTTGTGGACACGGCACAGCATGTTGCACTTCAGACACTTCAGACACTTCAGAGGCTTCAGAGGCTTCAGAGGCTTCAGAGGCTTCAGAGGTTTCAAGGCCCCAGGGGCTTCAGGGGCTTCAGGGGCTTCAGGGGCTTCAGGGGCTTCAGGGGCTTCAGGGGCTTCAGGGGCTTCAGGGGCTTCAGGGGCTTCAGGGGCTTCAGGGGCTTCAGGGGCCTCAATGTCGTTGCAGCCGAACCGTAAACCGTTTTAAACACTACACAGCATCCTGAAGCCCTGGAAACCGATTGTTTAGCCTTGTGGTTCTCAATCTTGAAGATGACGTAGCGCAAGTCCTGGCGCAAGGTGGAGCCCACTTTGGGGTCTGTGCTCCAGGGTTGCTTTCACAGACGATGTGTCCTCGGTGTGTGTCCGTGTGTCTTTGCATACGTAGGAATGAATACATATATATATATATACATACATATATATATAAATGTTTTTTGTATGTATATATGTAAATATGTATTTATGTATATATATATATATATATATATATACATGTGTATATATGTATATATGTATATATGTATATATGTATATATGTATATATGTATATATGTATATATGTATATATGTATATATGTATATATGTATATATGTAGATATGTATATATGTATATATGTATATATGTATATATGTATATATGTATATATGTATATATGTATATATGTATATATGTATATATGTATATATGTATATAATATATGTATATATGTATATATGTATATATGTATATATGTATATATGTATATATGTATATATGTATATATGTATATATGTATATATGTATATATGTATATATGTATATATGTATATATGTATACAAAACGGGGGACTGTGGGCGTGCACTTTCTCTGCCTTTTGTCGCTGTTGAAGAACCAAAAAACCCAAGTAACAACAATATTTCTAGACTCTCCAATCTCACGGATAAAAAAAAACTAAAAAAGAACAATATTTCAGGACTCTCCACCAAAACCGTACGGAAAATCCGTACGGAAAATCAAAAAAACCAAAAAAACCAAAAGAACCAAAAAAAACAATATTTCAGGACTCTTCCAGCAGATGGCCTAATTTCGAAGAGTCCCTTGGTTTTTTTGGTTTTTTTAGTTTTTTTTGTTTTTTTGGTCTTTTTGTTTTTTTTGGCTTTTTTGGTTTTCCGTATAGATTTGGTGGAGAGTCCTGAAATATTGTCGTTTCTTGGTTTTCCGTGAGAATATTGTGGAGAATCCTGAAATATATTTGCTTGGCTTTCATGTTCTTTTTGCTAATTTTAGCTTTTTGTGTGCGTTTGTGGCTTTTTGTGCTTTTCCGTACTGCCTGAGCCCCCCTTCCCTCTAAGAAAATTGTGCTTTTCTACGTTTTTCTTTGCAAATTGTACTTTTCTGTGCATCGTACACTTAAAGAGTACTGTATTTAATGGGTACATGAATAATTTAGTTTATTAGTTCTACCCCCCAAATCCCACATTCCCATGCTCAGTATTATAGCTTTTACTGGGCTTGTTTAAGCGACTAGTATATACATGGTATTCATTAGTACGTAATTGAATTAGTTTTCTGTAGTCAAGTACCATTTCTTGAGCATTATGTCATATTCTGTCAATATTCAATAAATCTTGTACTCACCCAATAATTGAATATTCACTGACTGCTAGATTGGAAAATCAACATGTATTGAGCACTGCATGGTTGAGCAATATTTTGCCTAATAGAAGCAATATTTGTCTGGAAACAGGTTTGTTGCCTCGAGTTATTTGCTTAAACAGTTACTTTACTTATTTAGGGAGACTTTAAAACCCTCAAATCCAAACTTCATCAGAGGTTCTCCTGAAAAGCTTGCATTTCGGGATATTTTTTGCGTTTGTGAATTTACTTGTGCTATGACCTTTGTGAGGCAACAATTACTTTACTATGAGAATTGGGTATTTTAAAGCCTGTCTCTTTTCAGGCATCGCGCATCAGTAGTCTTTAATTAGTACTTCAATAGCATTGGTTTCATTATTATGAAACTCAAGGTGTCTAGCGCGTACTTTAGTTGTACAAAGAACAACCTTCTAAGCTGAATTCATTTAGTCAATATTCAGCTACATACTAAGTGCTGCAGTAGTTAAACTCGCATAGGGCGAATGCTTTGTATAATATACATTCATGCATAAAAACAAAGTACTTCAGCGGACTTTCCATATGGCATTTGATTAATACTTTGCCTTGCGAAACTACAATTTATCCAATAAAACAACATTCTTTGCCATTGGAAAGAACAAGTTGCCAAAATAAATTAACACATACAAACTACAAAGCCAGCATTGTCCTGTCAAGATTCAAAACATGGAGTAGCGCAATGCTGGCTTATCGGAGCTCCCCATTGTCCCAATAGTTGTTCTTCATTTCCCGGTGCTCAAATATGCGATTGTAGGATTCGTTGTTCTGACGATACTAAGAAAAGTTGAAGCAAGGGTAGGTCGTTGGGAGGGGACCGATACCGTTCCGACGATCGCACTTGATGGGTCGTGTCTCTGGTCCTTTGAGTTTTTGACCTGTTACTTGACCAACAACCTCATCGAAGTGAGTTCTCTATAGACTCACCTGGATGTAGGCCTGGCATGAATCGTAGTAGCACTTCATACATAGCATATTCTCGCACAAATAATGAAAAGGCAATTTCATAATTAAGATGAGAGAGATCATCACCTGAAGATTGAATGATAGTTATCAAGTACGAGAGAGTAAAAACACAAAAAATGCACGCCCACAGTCCCCCGGAATATATGTATTTATGTATATATGTATATATGTATATATGTATATATGTATATATGTATATATGTATATATGTATATATGTATATATGTATATATGTATATATGTATATATGTATATATGTATATATGTATATATGTATATATGTACATGTAAATATATGAAAATATGTCTGTATATGTATACGTGTATGTACAAGCGCGGGGCACCTGGCTTTGAAGGCTTTTCCGTGATTTGTGGTCTACGTGGTCAGAGCTTTGCACACTCCAGGTTGTTGGAAGGTCTTCTGGAGTTCAGTGCTCACGGCTGCGCTCAAGCAGAGCCCCAGATGTCGTAGCAGCACTCCTTCTTCATCTTGATCTGGTTGTACCTTTCTTGTTCTTGGCACCCTAGTCCAAAACCAGAAAGGGCGCTCACACCGCAAATCACTGGGAATGTGCAACGATATGCGCAAAAAAAACACAGCGGTTCTCGATGAAGCCCAAGTTGCAGATCGACACACTCATCATTGACCGCCACTCCGGACATGGCGTCGGTGGAACACGGGGAGGCGCTGGCAAATGCTAAAGCGGCGAGCCCCCAAGCTGCAGACAAGGCGACACCTTGAACTCAAGATCACAAGCTACATGATGCTACATGCCAGCACTACACCCATGCCTATGCCTGTGGTCAGGCTCTTACGAAGCCAGGCTTTCAGAGCAGAAGAAGGTTTGGGGTTCAAGGCTCAAGGCTCTTTGAGGGCTACCAAGCGCACCGGCACATGCTGCACGCTTCCCAAGAAGCTCTCACATGCATGACTCTCTCTTGGCCCACGATCATGCGCAATGAATGCGAGGTTCATAGACAAGCACGAAGATTCATTTTCTCCAGGCCCCATGTGCCCGTCCAAACCCCCTGTCTCTTGCTTTCCAAACCAAAGCCAGAAGCCAGAAGACAAAAACTATAACATGTTATATATACATATATATGTATACATATGTATAGAAATTGCAGAAACCGTAAGTCGGAACTGGATAGGCTCCTGAGAATACCTGCTATGCATCTTGCCAGAGCCTTCCACGTTTTGGCGTGTACTGTTGCTAGCAGATTTAACGCAGAATTGCATAGGAAGCCACTTGAAGGGATCTCAACTTCCTCCCGCCATGCCACGATCTTCCTACCATTCTGGCCCTTTGGGGGTGCTCTTTCACTCTCGCGTCACGACAGCAGGCGAGCCGCAAGAATATGGAGCTGACCCGAGCGGCACTTGAATTATGCCTTTGGTCCGTGCGGACAGCATCGCATTTGGCTGCTCTGGGACTGAGCGCAGGGACATGGCGATGTCAAGGCGATGTCATTCCTCGGGGCCTGGGGTTGACAACTTCACACGAAAACTCTTGTTCTTTGTACCCTGCCTTGGAGGCAAGCTAAGCAAACACTTAAGCCCGAGTCCTTGCCTAGATCTAGTCAATCTAGTCACGGCCCTGCGGCGAGCAGCAAAAAGGCGGAGAGGCCCACAATCGAGGCATCCGAGCATCCGAGGAGGCATCCGCGCAATTCTTCAGAGGGCGTTTGGAAGTTTTCTAATCGCTAGAACGGTAGTTTGCTTTTGTCCAGCTCGGACAAAAGAACCCTCATTCCCTGAGCTGAGGTTCATCTTTGGGGGATCAGAACATGCAGGTTCGGGCCAAGCGGAAGAATCTTGAGATCGGGGCTTGAGAGCTCCTCAACCTCAAAAAACTCCAAACCCCGAAGATCCAGAGAAAGCCCACATGTCAAGTTCGTGGCCCCCGCAGCTCTACCTCGGTTACCTCGCCGGCACGGCGCCGAATTCGCTGGAAGCGCAGCTGCATGCCAATGCACATTTAGTCCATTACTGCAAGACTGCAACCCAGAGGCTAGCAGAGAATATGGCTGTAGAATCCTCAAACGCTCCGTGGACCTGAAGGCCACGCCAGGGCCCTAGCCTACGCACCTGTCTCCACCATCTACACCTACGTCCTTTGCAAAGCCAGCTGCAAACGAATTCAGAGGAGAGCATGCCGAAGGCCTACAGGTGCTAGCAGACTCAGAAAAGGTGTTAGGGGCTCTTGGGCATTCACTATGGTTCACTCATGTTCACTCCGAGTTTGCTCCACCATCCCTAGTTAAAATACGAGGAGGCCGAAGTGAGACTGCTAAGCCGTCGTGAGGCCGAGGCTGGGGGGGGATGCTCGATTGGGTTTTTCTACAGGGATCTTCTTTAGGTTCAGCCCAGGACCTGGGTTCAATCAGCTCCCGAACACGAAACACCGGAAGGATCCGACAGGCGCAACCCCCAACCCTGGCTACTACTTTGGCTCTCGCAAAGCCATCGTCGGCCGCTGCGGTCGCTTCGTGAGGCGCATGGCCTTTGCCAAAAGGCTTCCGGATTGAGGGCAACGTTTCCAGCATCCTCTAGCCCACTAGCTCTCCCAGCTGTGTCAAGCTGTACCGGCAATCACAATCCTCGTAAAGCTGCCACGTGAGCAAAGCCCCCAGGTCTCAGGAGAAGTTCAGGGCCCCCGGCTGCATCGATCGAGGCTGCTGCGCGGTACACTGGGCCAGCTTTGAAGGGGGCTTGTGTTTGTTGGAGCCGCTTGAACTTTGGATTCAGAAGCGATGCTGAACGCCGCACCCGAGAGCCAGGAAGATGCACAAAACGACAAAAGCGGTAACAGCGGCCAGTGCTCGGCCCAGTCAGACCAGGAGGAAAAAATCGCGCTGCCCAGTTCAGTATGCTTTCTGTGGCCTTGCTGAGGAATGCCAATCCCCGATGTTCGAAAACACATCCAGAACCTACCAGATCGACTCTCGGTAGCTACAAGCACAATTACCACTAGCTTGAGGTCCCTGGTTCCGTTCTGACACCTGACAGTTTAGAAGATAGCTGCTGCAATCCAAAGCCCAAATGGACACATGCCCGCACTCCGATGCTGAAGCTTCCGCGATGCCAGGCTCCAGACATCGCTCTTTGGGCTCAGATGCCGCCTTCTTCAGGGCTCTGAACGGGTCAAGAGATTTAGGATGGATTTAGGGTTCAAGAAGCTGCGAAGATGAGCAATCGCCCAACAGGGGGGCCTGAAAGGAAGTTCTCAACTGCCCGTGGCAGACCCGGTCCAAGCCTCAAACCTCGTTTCAATTCAGGAAACCCAGGCTTCAGGATGGTCTGGACGAAGATCGTTGAGGGCCGAGGCTGTCCGGGGCCTTCGCGCGCTCGGCAGCCCGTCGTGAGGCCTCTCAAAGCCCAGCGAGGCCCCAAACCCTTTCGTTGGCATGCCTCGGCCTCAGGCTCCAAAAAGTAATGCACCGCTTTGGGGCTTTGGGGCACTTTAGGGGTCGCAGGGCTTCGAGCATTTTGGGGGACAAATATGGACAGATCCCTCTGAACGAGAAGGCCGCCAAGGCCTCTCAACAACTCTACACCACTGCCCGGGCTCGCCTGCCGCTTCCTCATGCTGGTGATCCGGATAAGGCTGAAGGCGCCTCTCTCTGCACAGCTTCCCACAACCCAAGGTCGCAAAGATCTTCAGAGCTTAGGGTTATAATGTGCTCACCTTTGCCGGATGTAGGGTGTGGTCTTTAGGACAGGACATGCTCCGATGGCAGAGGGCTTTCAAGATGACACTCTAAAGAGCTCGCAGAGGCCCAATCCGAAGGCATAAATGCACGTCGAGGAATTTCGAGCTCGGGACCGAATTCCCAGAAGCACGAGAAGCCCTAGAAACCCAAGCGCACCCAGAAACCCTTCAACTCTTCCCCCCACCCCCCCGCCGCCCCGACCTGAGCGTGGACTCGGCACCTGCACTGCACTGCTCGCTCGACTCTGGCTCGGGAGAGAAAAGGGGGGGGGGGGGGGGGTTGGGTTGGGAAAGCAACATCGCAACGAGAGGGCTGATGAAGCCGATGGGAACACGTTGACAATCCCAGCATTTCACAACACCCCCATCCTTTGAAGCTGCGCCTCTCGCTCAAGGCGTAATGGGCTCTTGAGATCTTAGGGTTCGAGCCTCAAGTCTTAGGACTTTCGGGATGGTTCGTCTCGGCGCCTGCGCTTCTGCATCATGATGGTTCCTTGGAGTCGCAAGTGCAGATGAGGCTTCAGCGCTTAGAACGTGAGGGCCCGGAGGTTTCAACCCTGATAAGCATGAACAGCACAACCAAGGAGAGCTCGGAGGCTTCGCCGAATCCAAGGTCATGACCGGTCAGCTACAAACTGGAAAATCTCAAAAGCCCAAGGCATCACCTCGAAATGAACAAACAAGGCGGAGAAGTAACGGTTTGCCCACAGCATACTCGGAAGGTGCGCTGGGTTCTGCTTCCTCTCAAGCTTTAAACTTCAGGTTTGCCTCACCAAGCATGCGGCTCTTTCTTAAACGACAATAGCGGGGGGGGTTGGGCGCACCCCCCTCACCATCTGCAACAGAAAGCTTGCATGATGGGGTTTGGAAACGACGTGTATGCTTTTGAAGCAAGCAAGCATTGCATGACGTCAAAGTAGGTCCGAAACAAGCGGGGGTTGGGGGGGGCACAGCCCCTCCCACCCCCCCCCCCCATTATTTCCAAACAGGATCTTGCAAACGACCTGTATGCTTGTGAAACCTGCCATCTTTCGAGACCTGAAAACCCCAAAGACGACCGTACTAAGAGGAACTGTGTATGAGAACCACCTCACCATGCCATATGCTAACATTGAATTTGCTAGTTCAGCACGCCAGACTGCTGTGCCCAAACTACGTCGCAGTCCAACTGATGATCTGGAGCACTCATGATATATATATATATATATATATATTATGTAACCTACCAACCACGAAGCCCGGAACCCTCAACCCAAACCCGAATCCGAAGAAGTTTATTCGCGCCCAGGGGCGCTCCCATCGTCGGAGCTTCCAGCGGCACAACGTCGGACGGCGCAGCATCGGGTGGCGCAGCAACGTCGGGCGTGACAGTATCGGGCAGCGCAGCAGCATGAGGCGGCGGAGCCGCGTCGGGTCGCGGAGGGTCCTTCTCCTGTCGCTGTGGGCTTTGATGTTTCATGCACGGAGTTCAGGATTTAGCGTCCGGCACATTCAGGGCTGGAGATGATTGCTGCGTTGCATCCGGGCTGGGTGAGAACATGAGCTGAAAGTACGTCCGCCATCGTACCACATGCTCAACGGATCGGGGAACCCCACAGAGTCAACATCTGCAACAAATAGCAGAGTCATGTTGGGACATGTTGGGACACAATCATGACTCTGAAGGTCAGGTCATTTCTAATGAATGGCCACTACTTTGCACGCCCGCCTCCTGTGCTGAAGGGCCCACGCTAGGGCCCTCTGGTGGCAGACCTAAGGTCAAGTGAGAATGGCCCTACGGTCTCTAGACCTCTAGATACCCTATGATACCCTTGAAGAGTACGTGAAACCCAAACTTCCAAAACTAAACCTTTAGGGAAGCCAGGGAAGCCCCCCGCCTCCCGAGGATTCCAATGGAGCCTTTACCGAGGGCTCCGAGGACTCCGAGGGCTCCGAGGACTCCGAGGATTC